TTTTCTCTGTTATTTGTAGGTTGACCATTTTTATTTTTATTTTTTGCCATTAATTTTTTTAATAAAAAAATGTTAAAAATGTTTTTCCTCTATTTTTTAAGAGATATTTTTTCACATGTTTTCATATAAATAAATAAGTTAATTAAACTTATTACTAATTTTTTTTACTCTCCTTGAAAAAGGGCTTTCGTATTTTGAACCTATCTTTAAAAAACTAAAAACAAAATAAAATTAGAAAATTTTTTAAAAAATGATTTTCTAACTCTAACAATTTTAAATCCATATTATATAGTTAAATCAATTGTGAGGATATAAAATCTTGTAAGACATGTGAAGATAAAAAAAATATTAAATAATATAGCTATATTTAAAATTTAGTAATTCAAAAAAAAAAGAATAAATTTATTAGCATGACCAAAAAAAAATTCAGTTAATATTAATTATTTGATAATTTTAATTGATCAAATTCAATCAATATATATTTGTATTTTATTAATTATAGAAGTTGATTGTTTTAATGGATAATAATAACATATAAAAGTTTTTTTTTTAAGATTAAAAAAAATTATACAAATAACAATTTGATTGACTATGAAAAATCAAAAGGATTCATATGTGAAAATTTTAAATAAAAAGAGTCTCTCTTGAAAAATGGAGGAAAAGCATTTTTAATTTTTTTCAAATAGTAAAAAACAATTAACAGCAATAAAAAAGAAATTAATGAAAAAGAAAATAAGATTTGGATAAAATGTACCAAAAAATTAGTATTTTAATATTCAAATTATATAAATTGATAATTAAAATCTGAAATTACAAAATTACAATCGAATTGAAATTTTTGCCATTAAACTTATAATATTGAAACTAAAAACTTCACATCAACATGTACTACCTTAAAAGTTTTTAATTTCTCTCTATTAATCTTGTCATAACCCATTTTTGATCTCCATAAATTTTTATTTTTATACAAAATTCAAAATTTTAAAAAGAATTGCATGTTGCATATTTTTTTTTAATCTTTCCATTATTTTTAAGTATTTTTATAAATTTTTAGGATTTTAATTTCTTAAGATTATTCCCTATTTTTAACTGAATAAAAAAAAAGGTAAGAAAAAAGAGAAGAAAATAAAGAGAAAAAGAAAATAATTTAAAAAGATGGTTGGGAGTTCAATTGAAAGAGATGTGAGAGATGAGGACCAAATAACATCCAATTGTAAGTATAATTGAAAGAGAATAAAAGTCAAGGGTCTTAATTGAGAATGAATTAGGATGAAATGTAAAAAATAAAAAATAAAAAGCGGCGTGATTGATGAGATAATAATTCGACAATGACCAAAATTAAAAAAACGAAAGCATGGAGGACCAAGCCAAATGTTAACCCCGACCCCCCAAAAAAAACACAAAAACATCCCTATAAAAATCTCATTCTCTCTCCTGCCACAGGGCAGCCACTTTTCACTTCTCAAGGTACATTCAGATCAACGCTATTTTTTTCATAAAAAGGGTTTATAATAAAAAATAGTTTTCGATTAAAAAAAATCTTTTTTATAAAAAAATAATAAATAAACAAATACGAACAGGATATGAAATAAATATTTTATTACAGGCTAAAAAGCTCATTCTAGCATACCCCTTTTTTTTGTTTTATGAACAAAAACGGAAATTAAGACACAAGAACTACGTGTTATTGTCTGTTTGGAGGTTTCTTGTGGCGTTTGATTTTTGTTACGTCATTCTCCATATGCCAGCACGCACGTCATTCTCCATATGCCAGCGTTTATCTGGCAACTGACGATCATGATGATGGCAGACAACACCATTTTTGCTTTTAAAACATTTCAAGGCCTAGTAGAGTTGGACCAGACCAAGCTAGACAGACAGCCAAGTGGGAGCGACTATTCAGTTATTTGATTTTAGTTTTGGTTTTGATAAATTCGATTTTGTTTTCAATTAATGGAACTCATAAAACTTGAATTGAAGTATTATTCGATTTTTCAATTTTGAAACTGAAAATTTTGGTCCTTTATACTTTAATTTTTCGGTGAAAAACCAAATTATTTTTTACTATATAAAATAATGTTGTGATTATTGGTTCTTTGAACGCTATCTTTTTGCATAAATTAGATTTTCTATATATTCATTATTTTATTTTTAAAAAATAAAAAAATATACATTATAAAGTTTCAATCAATTAGAAAATAATATCAAACATCCAAATGAAATAACGTAACCCATAAATCATTAATAAAATTTATTTAGCAGTAAAAAATAAATGAAAAAAAATAAAGGCTTGAACTAATAGGATAGTTTTATGATTTCTTAATGTTAGATTATATATAGATACAGACACATACACTAATATTATTATGTAAATGCATTTCTCAATATATATATATATTGCGTGGAAACCGAATAAAATTTGGATTCTGCCTCTCGCATAAGCTCTGAATATTATTTACTCATACAAAATAATATATATTTAGAGAAAATTGCAAAGAGAAAAGGGAAGAATTGGTTCTTATGCTGGATAGATTGAGGTTTAGGAGAGAGAAAATGCTTTATTTGTTTTTATCTTTAGATTTTTTTTCTTTTCTTTTCATTTTTTGTTAAATTATTATTATTATTTTCACATGGTAAATTATTATGACATGTCATGACATGTGGCAATATTTTAACCTAATATCAATTTTAATTGGAAAATTAGCTGAAAAACCATCAAAATGACCACATTAAGAAATTTTCAAGAATAGAAGGATATATATATATATATATATATATATATATAAAGACTAAAGGTACCATATTAAAAAAAATATGAAGATTAAAGAAATGTTATATGTGATTAATCCAATAAAAAACAGAAATAGAAAAGGAAAGTAAGAATAAAAACAATGATTTTATAACTTTGTTATAGCACAGTTAACATTTTAGTTTATTAATTCTTCTTTTGTATATCTAAAATCTGTAAGTTTTTCATCTGACTCTTTTCATTTTAATATAATCTCAATTTTCATATATAAAAAGAGAGAGAGAGAGAGAAGAAAAGAAAAGTAAGATTGTGGGCTATATTGTTCTCCTGCTAAGTGCATCTTTGAAGTTTTTTTATAGATTGGGTCCTATCTGATTTTGTCGGATATGTGGACTATATTGCCGTCCAATTAACTTTGGTTTGATTTGGCATAATTTTTTATTTTCTCCAATTTTAGCTCAATTTCTTTGTCTACTATAATAAATGATTTTCATCCATTGCTTGTAAAAAGTTGAATTTTTTTTTTTTATTTGAACCCACAAACATAAAATTATAAGCTAAAAAACTCATACTAGCATACCTTTTTCATGAACAAAAACCAGAAATTAATACACAAGTGCTTGGAAGTAGAACAAGGCCAAGCTAGTAGGGATTACAAAAGTGCAAGGATAATACGAAGTACAAAGCCACTAGGCAACTAAATACCAAAATTACAACAACAAGACTAGACATCAAGGCAGACAGAAGCAACAATTCTAGAAGGGATAACTTGTTTGACTTTAACTTCCATGAAAAAGACACGTAGAGCACACCTTAATTATTTCCATTTCTAGCTTGCCAATACTCTTCAATTGGAATCCACATGCCCATCGTCAGGTTTCTTTCAGCTTTGATACGATAAATCCTCCCACCGTTCTCTCGGACTTGTATAATCAACTTAACTCTATCTCCTTTCTTCAGTCCTTTCTCAAGAACATAGCTCCGCCATTGGCCAGACATCCAAGGTTTCTTATGTTTTCCCTCATTGCGAACGGAGATCTTGAGTTCCCGTGGCTGGCCTAGCATGTCCATTGCAACAAACTTTAAATAATTTTGACCCACAGGCATGAGGAAGTTCTTCAGGCTTTTCGTCGGAAATTCAAATCGCATATTTGTTGCATCACTATCGGACAACAGTTTTTCCATTGCCACTTGACCCTCATACTCCATTTTCAGTAAATTAAAAGGGCCGATAAAAATGTATAAAAGAAATTTTTTTGCCAAATGATTTTGATAAATTTTTTGTTTGAGCGTAGAAGAGATAGTGATCGGTATTTATAAGACTCGGAGAAAGGCTAGCGGCCTGGTTTCTCTCGAATCTATTAACTTGAGTTTTTTTAATTGCGTGTCGAGCATGTGCATGGATCGTCCGAGATCCCAAATTCTTTGCTGAAAAAGAGTAGGTGCCACCGTGATATTTCTTTATATCGGCAGTTAGTGAGTATAATGTGTTAGATTCTGTTTGATTTATTTTCTTACACTAAGACCGACATGAAGATGATTGATGAATGTTTGAAAATGATTACTTAATTGATCTCGATCCCGAGAAAATAGGTAGTTAATTGTTCATTTTCAAAGAGTACGTACTTTATAAATTAGAAAGACTTTTTGGTCACATCACTTGTCTCGTTTTCAACTCATTAATTTGGACCAATCAAGCTTCCAAATATATGTTCTATCTAGAAGTATCATAAAAATACGTGCAAAATTCTTGACCATTTGGTTTAAAAAGTTTATATATCATGACCAATGATCACTCGATTAAGTCTAAAGCTCAAGGAATTAATGCTACAAGTGATGGTTTTATTATATTCTCTAATACAGTACGTATAGTATCATATGTTAGAAAAAAATAGTTAAAAATGGTTTAGATTGCAACAAAAGATTAAAATCTCTTTATATATATATATTTGGTTAATTGAGATAGTACAATATCCATATAATAAAGGGATACCCTAGAAGGTAGATTAACAAGATGATGATGATAATAATAATAATCATGATGATTAAGGAGTCTCTTTGAAGAAAATACAAGCCCTCCCCAATGATTCATGGATATTCTTCATTTTCTCAAAATAGAATGAAAGGGATCTCTCCTTTTGACTTAGTCAAATTATGAAGTGACGAAAAGCAAATCAAATATTTGAGAATGCAACATGATTAAATGACCTAGAACCTTTTTCTTTCTAGTGATTCCAATTTCAAGACATTGTTAATCTCTCCGCTTTGATAAATAGTAATTGGTAGAAATAAAATTTCAAAAAATAAAAATAAAAATACTACAACTTGCGAGAAATCAAGCAAGCTATCATCATGTAGAAAAGAATACGGACAAGAGTTCATAGGGTATTATGTCATCTCAACCTCTTTATCCATATAAGTCTATCGTCATATTAGAGAGTTTGACAAAATTGAAATTGGGATAACCTCAACAAAGTCGATCCCCAAACTATAACCCTTTTCTCAATTGGACCCTAAATCTAAAATGTTATCAATTAGATCCCCAATATATCTTAGAATCCTCAATCTAATCCCTCTATCAACAAACATACCCAACGTTTTCTATAGGTAGGGGACTCGATAGATAAAAGGCTTAGACACATTTGTTGATGGAAGGATCCAATATTTGAGGATTCTTGAATTCATTGGGGATCCAATTGGTTAGAATTATAGGTTGGGGACATAGCATAAAAACAAGCTATACATTGGGGACTAAATTAAGGTTACCCCTTAAAATTAAAACCATGCATCCCCATGGAAAGAAGATTTGCACACCTTTTTTTTCAAAAAAAGAAAAAAAGAAAAAACAAACTAATAATGATATAATAATACATCACATCAACAAGTACTACCTTACAATTTTTTAATTTCTCTGCATTAACCTAAAAATCAAGTTTCCTACTGTCACATGCAGATGCCTATAGCTTTGAAATTTTAACCCGCATGTTGTTTGGAATTTTACTTTATGCATTGCGATTGTACATTGTTGAGTGAAAAATGAAAAAAATTCTGAAATTTTTGTAATTACACAAAATGTGTCATAAATGATATCCAATTACAATAAAATTGTGAAGTGTTTATATATATATAATAAGTTAAAAATAATCAAATAATAGATAAAAAAAAAAAAAAACTAACATAGCATGCACTTATTAAAAAAAAAAAAAAAGACTCCTAATTAATGGATCTAATCCTCCATAAAAAATAAAAAAATTAAATATTTGACAAATTTTAAGTAAAAATGGGGTTACTTTTTTAAAAAATAAAAACTACAGATTGCACCATATATATATATAATTACCTATCAGTCATCATTACTGTTGCTTTTAATTTTATTTTAACAAACATATATGTGCTCTATTTTTATTTTAACTGTAGGTTAGATTCATTTTCTACATATATTATTATTTTTAAATTGTTATAATGATTTTTAAAATATATTCTTTACAATTTTATTACGATGAGTTTTTACATATAACGCATTTTGTATATCATATTACAATGAGATTTCCCATATAACACGTTTTATATCATTCAATATGAGGTTCAAAAAAATAACATGAGAATTAAAAAAGAAAAAATTAATAATTTGGTCCTTTTATCCTTTGAATTGTGTTGATTAAGTCATTGTATTCTTTGATTGTTTTGATTAAGATTTTTTTTTAATTAATAGAAAATGGGTATATCCTATTATTGTACCTCCAAGATTACACAGTGGGAGTCAATTTTCACGTCGAAAACAGGTTCTAATGGCTTCATGACGTTGTGGAGTTTTTAATTAGCTTTCCAATTTGGACTCACAGACGTCCCTCAAAGCAAAATTATAATTCATCAATACAACAATACATTTGTCCTTCCAAACTAACTTCTTGTTCTTTTATCTAACAGTCTGATCTGTGTGTTTTTCATCTAAGCATCCCATGTCAGACATAGCCCATAAACTTTAAAAAAAAATTGACAATATTTTTTAAGAATAATGCTAAACATTGAGAAAAAAATAACAAGAAAAAACTCTAAAAGTACACATGGAATATTAGAGTAGTGCTACAATTGAGTCCTATCTTAAGATAATGATCCAACGCCATGTGTATTCTTGGAGTTTTTCTTGTAATATTGTTTTGATGTTTAGCATGATTCTTTTTGAGTTATAAAATTAGATTTTTTGCCTCTGTTATGTTGCGGATTGAATAAAATACATAAAATCATTTAGAAAAATCATTTCAATTTGATAATCTATTTTATGGTATAAAAAAAGCCATGAACAATTAAAGGAATAGCAAAATGTGAATGTGTGAATAGTGAAATGTGATAAATTCAAATAATGAAATTTAAATAGCAAGAGTAATATAAAATGAAGTATTTCTTAATTTTAAAATATAAAAAGATATATTATATAATTGTCCGTTTTGTGTGGAAAAAAATTGTAATTGATTTTTTAAAATTTTAGTATCTAATTAAATAAAAAAACATAAATTGATGAAAAAAAGCAAAAAAAAAATCAAAATTTTAACACTCAATAAAATAAAAAAGAACATAAATTGATGGAAAAAAACAAAGAAAAAAACCAAAGGAAAAGAAAAAGAAAAGACATATGCAATGCATGAGTTAAGGGATTAAAATATTTATTTTAAATTTTTAGGGATCAAGATAAAATAACTTAAAAATTAAAAAATAATAATAATAAACAATACTCTTCATTACTATTCTTTTTACTGTTTATTTCATTGTTTTACTTTAGTACCTTGGTAAATTTGCTTTGAACTTGCTATTTCAAATGGACCATACAAGATTTAGCCTGTACCCCATGAGATAGACATAAAGAAACCCATAAGCTGATTGTGGAGAAACAGAAATAAACCCAGCCCACCAAGACCCAGCTTACCAACCCAGCACTCTGCTTTAGGTCACCTTCAAATTTCACCATGTCACACATGTGAATTAAAATAACTTCCATCTCCATTTCCTTACAGGAAATGAAATGATTTTAAGAAAAGTAATTTGAGAACGTATTTTCGTTGGGCCATGAGAAATGAGGTGAAGAAATTTTAGATGTTAATCAAGAATAATAAAAACATCAGGTATTTTTCAGAAAATTTTTGATGGTTTCATAAAGGTGAGTTCAATTCTTACCAAACTAGAAAATAGATAAAGAAAAAATTAATTATCGATCAGCTAGTAAATCTTGCAGCCGTCACCCATTATTATTATTATTATTATTATTATTATGACATGGACAAGTTCTATAATATGACAGTAAAAATAAAAATTTAAACACTAAAATTATAATTTTCTCTCTCTTTTTTTTTTTTTAAAAAAAAGATCAGGTAAAATCATGCAAGGTCATACACATAAAATACAATTAGTTGTTGTTTTGTCATCTGATTATAAATTACTTTACGCTGTTATTTATCATTTGAATATAAATTAGAAAGAGAAATACGATCGAAAGAATTAAAGTCATAATTACGAGTCTAATAATAAAATAAAAAATTTTAATAATTTTGATAAATTGCAAAATAAAAACTAATATTTATAACAAAGAGAGTAATTATAATAAAACTTTGGTGGTACTTTCGAAGAAATTTTATAATATACGAGTAACTAGTAGCATGTATAATAGTTATTAAATGAAACTGTTTTGAATAGAGAGATAGACACAAAAAACAGAGAAAATTAAAAAAAAAATTGAGCAAACGCGAAAATTTTTTTATCACCTTTGATATATCCGAATATAATTCAATATGTCTATCTTTCTTTAAAAAAATTTATAAAATAAATATTATATATATTATTAATTACTTCTTATATATTATAAAATTTTCGTAATTTCCGTAGCTTTTGAAGAATGAGAATTTATTGGCAGACAGAGGAGAGATACATTTATGTCAATTTGACCTTGGTTTCATTGTCCGAAAGAAGTGCTAATTAATTCAGGGATCTTGCTCGTGTAGATGAAAGATACAATTATTTTTATATTTTTTGAATTATTTTAATTGAGATCAATTCAAAATGAAACGTAATTTTTTCAAATATGCGTGCCAAGTATTTTAACGATATTTGTAGAAGTAAAAATTAAATTTACAAGCTTCCAAATTAAAAACTATAATTCGTCAAACTAACAATGGATTTGCTTTTTGAAATTAACTTCTTATGCTCTATCCATTAATTTGATTCATGTATTTTTATGTATGAACGTTCTACTTTAGACTTAGTCCGTAAAGATCTAGACAAAAAATAACATTATTTTTCAACATATATATATATATATATATATATATATATATATATATATATATATATATATATATATATATATATCAATTGAAATAGACATGCAGAAACCAATAAGCTCATTGTGGAGAAACAGATACAATCCAAAGCCCACCATGTCTCGCATTTGACTTAAAATAATTTGTATCTCAATTTCCTCACGGGAAAAATGATTTTAAGGGGAAAAAAATATTTCCAGAACTTATTTTGTTAGGGTATGAAAAATGAGGTCGCAAAATACTTTTCTTTATTAGATAAACACTAAAAGGTGCATGCATGAATTGATGAAAATATTAAATATATATGACATAAATTGTATTTTAGATGAAAAGGAAGCTTAATATATGCTTCTAAGTCAAGATTAACATTGATTTATTGGTTATGAAAATTTAGGTTTTTTTATTATTTATTTTTATTTCATCAGTTCGAAATTATGGGACATGACATAGACAAACTTAGGACTTTATATAATAATAAAATTCTTTTATATGTTTTAGAAATTTTTAAAATATTTAATATGTCATTTCAATCATAATTGTTTATCAAAATATCTCTAATTGAAATATAAATAAATTAAAAAATTAAAAAATTAAAAATAAATGTGATATGACTTTAATTTTTTTCTCATTTTAATAAATAACATTTCGATAAAAAAAATTATTTATGGTCAAAAAAATTGATCAAATAGTTAAATTGAATATTTTAAAAATATTCAAAAATATATGATATGTAATTAGAAATTTTGAAACTTATGAAAAATTATACATATTATATAAAAATAGATTGATCAATTTACTTCAAAATTTATTTAAAACTTTTAAATGCATATAAGATGGTTTGCAAAATATATTTAATTTCAATCGTGAAAGAAAATTCAATAATACTTTTTAGATTTCTTTCCTTTAAAAAAGGAAAAATCTATAATAACCATGTTAGATTCGAGCTGATATACTAGTGGTTCTGAAGTTTGGGTGACAGCTGTAAAAGTCTCATCTGTAATGTCCACCATGTATTCCAAAAGTTGAAAAGTAAGTGCTGCAACATCCAGGAAAAAGCAGAGAGGCAGAAGGAAGCTGAGAGGAAAATAGATAGAAATATAGAAAGCGAATCCTTTCTGTGTTATTTGCTCAGTCCACCATTCCTTTTGTGTACTGGCAGATTGCTAGAAGCACTTGTCAAAACTCAAGAACACCTGATCTCTCATCTCCCGTAGATCCTCATGGATTCTTTAGTTGTATCCCCCATTTTACAGGTCGTCTTTGATAAGTTGGCTCTTCTGATCATCAGAAAGTCAACAACTCGAGGAGATTTCAAGAAGGAGATGCAAAAGCTGCAGGATAGGCTTCCCATCATTCAAGCTGTGATCGAAGATGCAGAGGAGAGACAACATGGAGATAAGAAGATCAAGATTTGGCTAGAAAAACTTAAAGATGTGGCCTATGATGCTGATGACTTATTGTACATGATCCATGCTCAATTTCCGTACAAACAAGCCCTGAAAAGTCCCGACCTCTGGTTTTCTGCGGATTCCAACAGGTTTTCTGCGGATTCCCACATGGGATTACTTGGCAAAGGGAAGCTTCTGGCAAAGGAATTTTGTGAGGTGATAAATAGCAAGGTACAGATGACTTGTAAGACTCTTGAATCAATTCCAAATTACTTCATAAACTTGCGTAAGCTAAAAAAGATTAGGGAGAGATTGGATGATATAGCGAAGGAGATGGGTGAGTTCCAACTTAAGGAAGTTTTGGTGTCCAGACTTACACAGACTTGTAATAGAGAAGGAAGAGAAACTGGACCTCACATAATTGAGTCTGAAGTGTGTGGTAGAAAAGAGGATGTTGAAAAGGTTGTGGAAATGTTATTGACATCTAATCCTGATGTCTGGATTATTCCGATAATTGGGATTGGAGGTATTGGGAAAACAACACTTGCCCAGTTAGCTTACAATCATGAGAGAGTGGTGAAGCATTTTGACTTGAAGATTTGGATCTCCCTATATGATCATTTCAATCCTAGGAAGATTATGAGTGAAATGTTGGATTATGGCGCTAAGGGCAAGTATGATTCCACTCCCCAGATAGGTTTGCTGCAGTCACAATTGAGGGAAGCATTGTGTGGAAAAAGATATCTCCTTGTGTTGGATGATGTGTGGAATGAGGATCCAGATGAATGGGATAAAGTAAGGAATCTGCTAGGAGATGGTACAAATGGAAGCAAAGTTATCGTCACCAGCCGGAGCCAGAAAGTAGCATCCCTAATGAGCACTAATCCTCCTTACCATTTGGAAGCCCTGTCCGAGGATGATTGTTGGGCTTTGTTTAAGCAGCGAGCCTTTCCAGATGGAGATGAAAATGTTTTTCCAAACCTGTTAACTGTTGGAAAACAGATCATTGACAAGTGCAAAGGAGTGCCTTTGGCAGCCAAAGTTCTTGGAAGCTTGATGCGGTTCAAACGAGAAGAAAGTGAGTGGCTGCGCGTGCAAGGGAGTGAATTATGGAATCTTGAAGGAGGGGAGAATAAAATACTATCGGTCCTGAAGTTGAGTTTCAATCATCTGCCATCACATTTGAAACGATGCTTTGCTTATTGTGCGGTTTTTCCAAAAAAATTTGAAATAAGTAAGGAAAAGTTGATCCATCAATGGGTTGCTGGGGGATTTGTTCAATGTTCTCCTCATGATTCAGTTTCCACGCCTGAAGACATCGGTTGCGACTATTTCAATGATCTATTAAGGATGTCTTTCTTGGAAGTGGTGAGTAGAAGCGATGAGAGCAGCACAACAAGGATTAAAATGCACGATCTTATGCATGAACTTGCTAAATCTGTTGCTGGAAATGAATTCCTCACTGAAGGGAAGACTGAACGACAACAAATCTTGGCACAGAGCCACTCCTTGCCAATAGTTTGTGATTCTTTCACAAAAACTAGACATGCACTTGTCGATTGCACTTCTACATCCAACCTGATTTCCGGAGCCTTGTACGGAGCAAAGGGATTGCGTACCCTCAATTTGTTGTCTTTAGGAGACGCATCTGAGAAAGCCATCAGGAATTTAATTTCAAGCTTCAAGTACCTCAGAATTCTGAATTTGAGTGGGTTTGGCATCGAAAAACTGCATAAATCCATTGATGACTTGATATGCCTGAGATATCTTGATCTCTCCGACACCCCAATTGAAAATTTACCAGCATCTATTTGTAACCTCCAATTGCAGACACTAGATTTATCAGGTTGCAATAATCTTCAACAGTTACCAAAAAGGACAAGAGTCATGACCACCCTCAGACATCTGAAGATAAAAAACTGCACAAGACTTGGTCGCATGCCAGATGGTATTGGGGAATTGATAAATCTTCAGACCTTGCCAATATTTATTTCTGGCCAAACACGGCAGTCGAACATTCGGCAGTTACGATACCTATGCAATCTTCGAGGTGAATTGAAAATTAAACACCTCGAGAATGCAATTATTGAAGATTCTTTGTTGGAAGACAAGCAACTTGACTCGTTGGGACTGTCATGGGGAGATGTTGACGAACATAAGCTGAATGGTAACGTGATAGTACCAAGAAGCCAAACAGGATACCGTAGTAGTGCTCAAAAAGCAGAGGGTCTACTTCATTTTACATTGAAGCCAAACTCCAGGATAAAGAAGTTGTTCATAAATGGCTATCCAGGAACCCAGTTTCCAGACTGGATGAATTCAGTCACCCTATGCACTCTGATACAACTTGAGTTAGTCAACTGCAAATCATGCGAAAGCCTCCCAGCACTTGGGGAATTGCCACTCCTCAAGGTTCTTCAGATCCAAGGAATGGATTCAGTGGTGAACATCGGCAATGAGTTCTTTAGTGGTACGGGGCCATTTTCATCATTGATTGAGTTATCCCTCAGAGATTTTCCCAAGTTGAAAACCTTAGGCGCAAATCCGGTGGAAGGGTTCGCTCGCCTGAACAAATTATCCATCATCAACTGCCCTGTTTTGATTACCATTTCATTGTTTCCGTCTCTTCAACATGTAGAGGTGAGGAACTGCCACCCAGTGATCCTTCGTTGTGTAGCACAGCTACAATCACTCTCCACTCTTGTTATCGACAAGTTTCCGGAGTTACTCTATATACCAAAAGCACTCATAGAAAACAATTTGCTTCTTTCTTCTTTTACAATTTCCTCTTGTCCCAAACTTCGTTCGTTGCCTGCAAATCTCGGAGAACTTCAGAATTTGAAGTTGCTAAAAATTGGTTGGTTTCAGGAGCTACACTCTTTGCCACATGGATTCGAGAATCTCACTTCTCTGGAGACTTTGGAGATTATTGAGTGCCCCAATTTAGTCTCCCTCCCAGAGGAAAGCCTAGAGGGATTGAGTTCGCTGCGATCACTCTCCATTGAGAATTGTCACGGCTTAACTTCTTTGCCAAGTCGGATGCAACATGCCACGGCCCTTGAACGCCTAACTATTATGTATTGTTCAAATCTGGCTTCTTTGCCGAATGGCCTGCAATATCTCTCTGCACTTAAAAGTTTGAGCATTTTAAGCTGCACGGGGCTGGCATCTCTTCCCGAGGGACTGCAATTTATTACAACATTGCAGAACCTGGAAATTCATGACTGTCCAAAAGTCATGGAATTGCAAGCATGGGTGGAGAACTTGGTTTCACTTCGATCTTTGACAATCTCAGATTGCCATGGCATCAACTCCTTGCCAGATGGTCTCCAACGTCTCCGCGGACTCCAACATTTGTCCATCAGGGGTTGTCCTGAACTTGAAAAACGATGTGAGAGCGGGAAGGGAGAGGATTGGCAAAAAATATCTCACATACCCTATATTTATGTGGGATCAGCAACATTGCCGCAGAGACGTGACACTGCTAGCAGCTCTTCATCTTCATAGGTACACCTCTTCCCGGTCTCCACCACTGCAAATTTTCTATTTCAAAACAGCATTTAATCTTTGAATAATCAATAAATCTTGATTTCTCTTGCAACAATACAGGTCCTAAAAGTTACCCAAACCACCAGGTACCTGTCAGGCTGTCACACCAAGAAGGAGGAGGAGATTCTTTTCACTGGAAAAAGATCTGGGTTTCCTTGCCTGCAACTGTTTCTATTTGTAAAACACAAAATAAGGTACATTTTCCGTTTGATTTTTGTTTGGATTTGTTGCAAGCCATAAAGGGTTCCGGTTAGTGTATTTGTTCTTCAAACACTGTAACTGTGATACCTCGTTTTCTGTTCATGTAATTTGTCAGTACTTTTGCCTGTAAGTTCTCTTTGAAGTATTGTTTATTTCTACCAACTAAAATACAGAAGACATTTGCCTTTGTTGAAAGTTGAAAAACAAAAAGGAGTATCTCTTCCCTCTATTTTTCAGCTGTTTTCTTCAAGCTTCATTAGTCAGGATTCTGTTCCAAGTTCTTCAACACCAAGCCCAAGCCACCAACAACCAGCTTGCATATCCAGATCAAAGTTTTCTATGCTTTGTGCCTTCTTCAAGGAATTAGTTTAAATAGTTATGGGACAATTCGTAGAGTCTCTATCTCCGTCTCACTCTCTCTCTCCCTCTTCCTCTTTATTCTTGCATGTGTTTGTTATATCATCTTAGATTGATTAATTATCAATTATCATACGTCTATTATTTAAAAAAATGAAATTAATCATCGAATTTTTATTAGGTTGCATGAAGAATAATTATTTTCCACAACAATGGTTATTTTTATGCCAATCTTAGAGAAAAAAAATCAGTCGAAATTATGAAAAATAATCATTTTTTTAAGTTGTATGAAAAGTTAAAAAAAAAATTAATTATTTGAAAAAAAATTGATATTGATAAACTAATAAAATAGTAATATATAATGCAAAAATAATAAAAGAAATAGAAAAAGAAAAAGAGGAAGGTGCATGGGTCGATTTGCAATCGGGCTCAATCTCTTGTACTGGAAGCGTCTAGCCGAGGACTTAAAAAAAATTAAAAATAACTGGGGGACGGCACAAGTTGCAGCAATGCAACAACTCCTTTGTTGCTATTTGTAAGTTTCGATAGCCATTTGATCATCGAAAAAATGAGAGTTACTGAGTTTGGCTCTCCACACGTAAGTTCTATTTTGACCTAAAAATATCTTAAAATTATCCCAATGACATGTAAAAATCCATTTTGAATGTCATAATACATTCTAAGCATCCTATAAACCCATAATCTTTCCTACCTTCTCTCTCTTCCCTCAATATTTAGGGGCTTGCTTGTAATGCAAATGAATTTTAAGGGCTCTTTCATACAATTTTAAAAACTTGAGGAACTAAAATGTAAAATAATACACAAAAATTTTAGAAAAATCACTTAAATTTTTTTGGCAAAACAGCTCCGTTTCAAGCCACAATATATATATATATAAGTAGTTTTTTTTTTTAAATCTAATGATAGTTTTGAGAGTAGAGAAGAATAATTACGGACCTGCAAACATAACCTGATGACAATGAGTGCTATTGCCTTCTGTTCTTTGTCTCGTTCTTTTTTTTTCTTCTTCTTCTTCTTCTTCTTTTTTTTTTTTTTTTTTTGACTTTTCTGTACTTTTCCTTTCAATTTTCAAAAGCACTGTAGCAAGTTTGATCCACCACCATCTAAGATTCTTGGAAAAAGATGAGTTCAGACAAATGTTTCTTGTTTTTCTTCGATCAATGTGTCATAGTACATAGTTAATATTAATTGATTGACTTGATAGACGATAATTATACAAATATATAAGAAGCAGGACAAGCACATTAATTTGTTTATTAATTAGAGAAATATATATACAAGAAATGACCATTCTGGGAAGTCAAGACGAGCAGTAGAAGTTGCAAGGATCTTGAGGAACTGCAAACAAATACGATAAAGATAATGTTACAAACAAGAAATTCAAGGAACACGACACAAAATGGAACATCAAGAAAGCAAGACAGTAATTCTTAAAAAACAATTTCTTTTACTAGATAAAAAAAAAAAAGCTGAATATGAAGGAAAAAAGAAACTTATGTATGATTTTAAAGCGATATTTACAATTAATCCAACAAATTTATGAGTATTTTTGAATATTGTTATTATTTTTTTTAGTGTTTAATATTACTTTACTACAAATATTAATCTCATCTAGAATCGATTTTATAATTGATAGATTACTCTGAACTTCAATCATTTTTAATGGATATTAATTTTTGAGTTCTAAATTTAGGAAAATATGGTTTTCCACACTACATACAATAAGAAATTAGACATTTGATCTTATGAAGGCAACAGAAAAAAAAAAGTTGGAAAGAATTTACTTGAGGGTTTACTGATTTAAATTGATGATGTTTTACTTTAAAAGAAATTTCGACTAGAAATAGTTTGAAATTATTTCTAGGCTAAACGCTACAAACTTTTCCTGAATTTTATCATGTCATTTGAGAATTAGTCCTTTAATTTTTAATTTCAAATTAGACCATTTTTTATTATTTTTATTTGAAATTGGATACTTATGTTACGTTTTTGTCCATTCTAATGTACAAGTGTAGTTCCATAGCAACTAAAAATTTATGGATGCTTTGCTTTTTGTTTCAAAATTTGTTTTTTCATCTCCTAAATATTAAGAAATTAGCAATTGAATAATATTTTATAATAGAAGAAACAAGTTTTGGGAGAAAAAATAAACCATCCATAAATTTTGATACATTTTTAATTAATAAAAAAATTAACTATGCATAAATTATGTATACTTGTATTGTTATAATTGAAGATAACTTAACAGAAAGAACAAATTAAGAAGAAGGTCCAACTCAATATTAATGATTAAATGATTTAAAATTCATAGGAAGTTTGTACCGTTTTCCTTTATTTATATTTATATTGCTTTCTTTTTAATATTATATTTTACCATTCTACATTTTCACTTCAATTTTCCTAAAATGGTTCTATAATATGAGGAAATTAAGCATTATAATATGTCCCACGCAACACAAGCACGCTTGGTCCGCCGTCAAGTTAATTATGATATTGAATATTTAATCTTACCGGAATGCATGATTGTATAGAATTTTAATTATTATTATAAAAAAAGAGGTTAAATTTTGAGATCTTTTAGAGAAATAGAGAGAAAATTTCAAACAAATTTAATTCACTGGATTAGGTTTTTTTTTTTTTTTTTCTTCTACTATTGAGATATCTTTGTTTTGCCTTAGCTTTCTTTTATTATAGCTGTATTGCTGCAATTCCTTATACTCTTTTTGGTTACTTTGATCTGTCAAGGTTTATTACAAGCGAAAATCATATTAATTAAAATTTTCCCTTCTTAAATTTTTTAATAATAAAATAAATTGTTTATTGATTAGAGAAATTAAGATTTTTTTTTTTTAAAAAAAACATACTAGAAAGTCGACACAAGTCTACCTACATATTGACTATAAAGATTAAAGCTACCATCAACCAATGAAATCACAATTCGTGTAAATTAGTTTTTAGTTGACTATGATTAAAACAAACACTCTTCATTTCTCTTGAAGCAATTGCAATTTACTATGATTAACAATATAAAATCCAGATAAGATGCAAAAACAGCTTTTAATTATTAAAGAATTATCTCAAGTCATCAACTTAAGTTATTAGATGAGATTTTAAAATATAATTTATATTGCTTTCTAATATATTCTCTTAAATGAAAATTTTTTGAGTTTGAAACTTGCATAGATTTACTACTACCATATGATTAATTATTTAATTTTTAATTAAAAAAATTAAGGTGCTAGGATTCAAACTCGTGACTATTTTGTTATTAAAACTCTAATATCATATCAAAATATTATTTCAACTTAAAAATTTAAACATTTAGTATGAGTTTGTACAAATTTCAATTAAGTTTGAAAGATTTTTACTTGAAAAAATATATTAGGGAATAATATAAATCACTTTATAAAATTAAAAGCATACGTTAGATTGTTGGAAACTAAACTATTGGGTTGAGATGGTTTTTTAACATATAATTGTAATTATTTGTGATTTTTTTTCCTTAAAAAAAGAAAAAATTATGACTTACTCAAAAAGTTAAATCTAACAGCCTTAAGCTATTGGCAGATACAACTTTACTTTTACAAAATATTCACATATTTCAACAGTACTTTCTCACGAAGATATTCTTACCTCAATCTCACGAGCCGACTTGGAGAAAACCACTATTGATCAATCGAATACCAGAAACCGAAATGCTTCCTTTCAGCTTTGATGCAATATTTGTTTACGCCATTCTCTTGCTCATGCAAAGTCAATGTAACTCTATCTCCTTGCTTAAGCCCTTTACGAAGAACATACGTGCCCCATTGGCCAGATATCCAAGGTTTCGGATACTTACCTTGATTGCGAACCGATATCTTCAATCTCCAAGGATGGTCTAGCTTGTCAAATGCATCAAATTCAACTGAATTCTGACCGGCGGACAAGGGGAAAGCCCTCAAGCTCTCGGTTGGAAATTCGAGTCGGTTATTACTCGTGTCACTTTCAGATAACAATTTGATCATCACCTCCATTTCTAGGGTTCGGGTAAGCTATACTAAATGGTTAATCTGAAGAACTTGAAATGGGGATATGGTATATATGGGAGTTGGATAGATATCATATATATATAAATAGATCAAACGGAGATTTATAAACCTCAAGGTCCTCAACCTGCTCTGCTGTTAAATTTTAGAACTTGCACTGGGGCCATGCAAAGAAATTACCAATGATCTTTGAAAACAGGTCAGCTGAATTAACTAAATATTTTACTTGGAAAATGATAGTGAGTCCACTAGCATGAACTAGAATGAATCTGATTATTTTTTTGTAAAGTATTCAAATGGTACAGGACCTACTGATGGAAAACTTTATGCAAGTTCTTTTGACCACCTATTGATCAATTGTTTTTGTTATAGATTAGATTTCTTTCTAAAATTTATCATAAGAGGAGTCATCAACTATTTCGAAATAAAAAATATAGATTCTAATTGTCTATTATGTATACGGTTATATCAAGGATTTTTTTTTATTATTATTTTTTAAAAAAGTTAAACAACGTTATGAAAAAAAAACTAGTGTAAGTTTTTAAAAAGAAAAACCTAGCAAACTATGAGAAAGCAAATAAATAAAGTTACAAATAAAGGTGAAGCATAAACGATATAGCTAAAAGCTGTAAAGGGAGGGTTGTTTGGTGGGGGATCAAAGGAGGTTAAATTTTACCCTTCTAACATTTAAGCTTGTTTGAAATTCTTTTTTAGAGATTAATTATTAAGGAACGTCAAAAAATCATCTCAACTCAAAAATATAAAATGTTAAATGAGATTTTAAAATATAATTTATATTACTTTTTATCATATATATGTTCTCAAATAAAAAATTTTTAAACTTGAAAGTTGTATATACATATTTATATTACCTTGCACTTAATTAAAAGATAAAGCAAAAATGGTGAGTTTCGAACTCTCGATCAGATATCATATCAAGAAATTTTTTTAAATTAAAATTTTAAAATATTAGATAAAATTTTAAAATATGAGTTATATTACTTTCTAACAAGAGACACTAAATACTTTTAAATTAATGTTTTCGGAGGATAAATTTTACTCTCCAAATATTTTTTTTTCTCATTCTTCATTTTTTGTCTCAAAATATGCACCAAATTAATTTTTGTACAGGGTTTGAGGATAGCGTTCCATGTTGTTCTAGCTGGTCCTTGCAGCAACGTCAAATACAAGTTTGAGAATTCCATGTGACACGTGATTAATTAATATGATTCAAGAAACCAAAAGACAATCAAATGCATGAACAACCATTGCATAAACTAAACTTCTGTCATCGTATTGACTTTATTTAGAGTCCAAATAGAGACAAACGAAGAAAAATATGTAACCATTATTTCCGAACTCTCTAGAAAGGAAATCTGATGGTGCCCCAAAATTTAAATGTCTCCATCCGTACAAGCAGATCTTATTTTAATAGTTTCACGTTCTAAAATCATATGAAAACCATTTTAAGGTAAATAGTGCTCGTTCTTTTTGTCAATTCTTGCATGATCATATGGGACCAAGCAAGTTAATGGTGCACTGGATTGCGGTTTTTTTCTTTATTTTATGTTGAAAAAGACTTATTTATCTTGCAGATGCCGTGTACGATGGAAATGCAGTCTATATCAATAAAAAGATAGAGAAGAATTTCATCAACACTCTCTTTAATATTCTTTGTTAAACACTCGCGCAATAAAAATATCAACGTCAAAATGTTTTTAACTGTCTCCAACATACAATCAAAAAATCAGAAAATAATTGATATTCCATGCTTTGAGAAAATTTTTAACTCTAAACAAATAAAAAAGATGAATATTTGATCTTTACATAATATGAAATTAGTTGTAATTAAAAAATTTTCTCAAAACATGGAACATAAATTATCTTATTTGAGCAAGAGATTAAATCAGCAAAGCCGTGCTCCCAGAACACCGCAAAAAGCAAGAAGCCAGATGGAGTTTTGATATAAGACTACAGCAACCGTAGAAGCGCAGGAGAGCTGAGATAGCAGCAAAAAAAGTAGACAATAGAAAAACAACAGCACAGCTAGCTATAAAATTGTAATAACCAAAAAAAGCACTTTCATTTTTTTTATTATATTTTATTATTTTAAAAAAACAAACAAATAAATAAAAATACAAAACCAAAAAATAAATTAAAAAAAAACAGATTGAAGTCTATTTCAATTTTTAAATTCAGTTTAGCTTGGTTGGATCACCTTTCAATAACAGAGTTTGAGTTCAAATTAAATAACTAAAAAATCTGAATTTTAAAGTATTTGATTTAAGATGAAACTGAAATTTGAAAGTGTTTGATTGAAGGTGAAACTCAAATTCTCAATATCTATTCATCAAAATTTTTCGAGTTAGAGGTTCAATTTCCGGGTTTTTCCGAAGTGAGTTTTGGCTTTTTTTTTCTTTTCTCCGTGATTCCCCGAGTTCTCGAGAACACAAACAAAACGTGCATCCATTCTTTCCAAAACTGAACAAAACATGCGCATAACTTCATAAATCTCACAGCCAAATACTTGCAACAAAGGACTCTATTATCACCACGCCGGCCTAGTCAATTCTTGCAATTCAAGCAAGCTCCATCCGGGTAACCCAACTCATGCCAATTTCTTTTGACTTCAGTTTCAATTAATCCGTTTTAATTTTATTTTATTTTTTTAAATGAAATTGAAGGAAGGGTGGCTGGACTAATTCGGTCCGGCTTTATATATGTGCGTGTGTGTATATATATATATATAGGGGTAGAAAAAATATATAAAAATCATTTTTTTTTGTATTCAATTTCGGTATTTGATTATTTGGGTTAAGGTAATTTTTTTTCATTTTTTTTTAAATTTATTGCATATACTTTATAATCGTTTGTAATTATTCGAAATTTCTCAACGAAATCTCCTTTTGATAGGGATTGTCGTTTCGTGACGAAGTCTCCTATTTGATAGGGACTCGTTGGTATAATAAATAAAAATCATCATAATCGAATGTCCTCCGACACGCCATTCATGTCGAGGCTTAAAGTGGATCCGATATTTGAACCAACGTGTCGCCCAATGAAGGGGACCGACGATCGTTTCAATATGATGCCACGCTCAAAACTAAAAATCAAATTTTGCTAAAATAATTGTTTAAAAATTAGAAAACAAATTGGCATAAATGAACAATGTAGGAGATAAATTTAGGACTAAAACAAGATGTGATACCTTTCTTCGGAAAGGACACTTTTAGGGTGAATAATTATCTTCCTTGAAGTGTAACTAACTCGCTTACCATAGAATCTTTAAACCGAGTGTTATTTTTAGGTTTCTAATTCCTTAATAATAGGTGGCGACTCCAAAGCTCGTAAATAAACTTGTAAATATTAATCACATTTAGCATTTTAATTTTAGAAGTCCCGTCCGACATCGGGTAACGACAAAAATCATCTAGAACTTGCGAAGCCGTAGATTGGAAAGAAAAATACATAAATGAAACTAAAACAGTCATTGCAGTCCTTCATACATGCCCAATATTGCTTGAGATTAATCAATTTATAACCACTTCATTGCTTCACATCATCTTGATTGGATTAAAAAAATAGTCCAAAATCAAGATAGAATGTATTGGTACCGGAATGCAGGAAAAAAAGGTTTGAAACCCACCTGCTAATCAAAAGTTCAGGCCAAAAAATGCGAAACAAAACAGCAAGAAGTAGGATCGGCATCATCACTAGAAACAATGCTGCGCCAACCGATTGAGTCTCAAAATTCATATTTACGAATTAAGTATTGCAAAATGACCATGGAATGATGAAGATAACAAGTGAGTTCTTCCCAAAACCTTTTATGAAGATTACCCGCCAAAACCACCCTTAAAATAACATTCAGTAGTGATGGACTAATGTAGCAGCCATAATGTGTCATAAATCGCTTCATCCTAACCAATGGAATACAATACAATAGAGAGTTAGATGTGTTTTTATATTATTTATTAATTCTTTAATCTGTTTTTATATCTTTAGTTGAACTAATTTTATCTTTAAGTATATATTAAAAAATTTTAATAATCAAATATCTAAATTATATCTTTTTTTTAAATAATCATATTTTAAAATTTAAATTTAAAATTTAAAAATTAAGGATTAAAGTGCAACATTTGCAAAACATTGCACATAAAAGAGTTTTTTTGTAGGGGTAATGAATAGTTTTTTACAAGACAGCGTATAAAATGCTTTCAAAAAATACGAAATTTAACGAAAATGTCATTGTGAAACAGCATGTAAAAATGCCTATAGAAAATGCTGATATTCACGAAAATGCCATTAATGGATCTTGTTTTGTGATGTGGCAAACACTATTGTATACAGTATTTCCTATAGTTTTTTCTGAATTTTTTTTTTATTTTCTCAACTATTTGTAATGACTTTTTAACTTTCTCCATTGCCAGATAACTTTTTCACTCTTAATCTATCATCAACTTTTATGTTAATTTTAAATTCAAAATCCAAAAATGAAGAATCATAATGCAACATTTGCAAAACATTGCATATAAAAAAGTTTTTTTTGTGGGAATAACAAATAGTGTTTTGTAAGACAGCATATAAAATGCTCCCAAAAAATACAAAAATTAACGAAAATATCATTGTGAAGCTACATATAAAATGCTTATAGAAAATGTTGATATTCACGAAAATGCCATTAATATTTTGTAAGATGGTGAACAGTATTATGTATGATATTTTTTTTTAATTATTTTTCTTAATTTCTGATATGTAAAAAGAAACAATACATATATTCTTTCAAATTAATTCCTTATCTTTTTTATCTATCATTCTGATTCATGTTTTTTATTTATTTAAATCTTCCACGTTAGATTTAGCCTGTGAAGTTATATATATATATATATATATATATATATAATGTTTAGCCCTACTTTTTTGAGTAAGAAAATTTAGTTTTGCGACTTACTATTTCGATTGGAGCGTACAAGGATTAGGCCTGTAATTAATCAGCCCATGAGATAGTTGACATACAGAAACCAATAAGCTGATTGTAGAGAAACAAATTCAAAGCCAGCCCACCAAGGCCCATCACTCTATCTTATGGCATCATCAAATTTCACCATAAAATTAAATTAATTACAATTTATTGTAAGGTTCGCCGCAGATTCGAAGAGTTGAAAAGTGATGGCTGCAACATCCGAAGGAAAAAGCAGAGAGGTAGATGCGAGCAGGAAGCTGAGTGGAAAAGAGATAGAAATATGGAAAAAGAATATTTGTTCAGTTCACCATTCATTTTCTGTGTTCTGGCAGATTGCAAGAAAACTCAAGGACACCCGATCTGTCATCTGGCCTAGATCTATCCTCATGGATTCCTTAGTCGTATCCCCCATTTTACAGGAATCCTCATGGAAAATTTTGTACTATTTACCTTTATTTTATTTATATAGCTTTCTTTCTGATATTATTTTTTACCATTCTACATTTTTACGTCATTTTTTCTTTAAAATTGACCAATTAAAAAAAATAGTTGAAAAATCCAAAAATAAAAATAGTAAGAAATTAATGATTAAATGACTTAAAATTCATATTACAACATTTAACTTTATTTATATTTTTATTGGCCGATGGAGAGTAGAGAAAGACCTCAAAGGGTACCTGGGCTGGATTTTAGAAGATCGATCACGCAAGAGTGGGTGCTATTGCTTTCTTTTAAATATTATTACTTTTGACCTTTCTACATTTTGATTTGAATTTTCAAAAAACAGTACCATAAGATGAGGAAATTAAGCATTATAATATGTCCCATTGCAACACATGCATGTTTGGGCCGCCGCCAAAGGAATCTGACAAATATTTTGTATTCTTTTTCTATCCAAAATTTTTATAATAATTCTAAAATAACTAGTAATATATATAATAATTAATAATATATATAATAATTATTTTATAAATTTATTTAGAGAAAAAAAGAATCACATAAAATTATATCCGGATCTATAAAACAAATTTTTTGTTCGTTTAATTTTTTTTTAATTTCCTTTCTCATCTTTTTCTTTTTTGTTTATAGAACATGATTAGATATTGATTGAATTGATGACCTTTAGTTCCTCTTGCCAACAAATGTGGATGGTCTCTATCTTCTTCTCATTCTCTCTCACCCTCTTCCTCTTTATTCTTGCACAAGTCTGTTATGTTATCTTAGATTGATTAATTATCAATTGTCTTATATTTATTGTTGTAAAAAAAATGAAATTATTCATCGATTTTTTATAAGGTTGCATGAAGAATATTTATTCTCTACAACAATGGTTATTTTTATGTTAATTTTAAAGAAAAAATAAAGTCAATATTATGAAAAAAAAATTGATTGTATGAAAAGTAAAAAAAAACCATTAATTGTTTGGAAAAAATAATAAAATAATAATATATAATGCAATAATAATAATAATAAGCTAAAAGAAAGAAAAAGAAGGCGCATGGGCAGATTGCAATCGGATCCTGTTGCCGAGGCTGCAAACATCCAGCCTAGGACCTTTGAAAAAAAAATAATAATAATAAAATAACTAGTGGACCATGCGAGTCCAACCCCGTTGTCGCGACCTAAAACTTTCCACAGCCATTTGATCATCGAAAAAAACCGAGGGCTGCTGCTGCGTTCCACCATTTTGACGTAAAAATATACTAAAATCATTTTAAAGATATGTAAAAATTCATTTTAAATCTCAGAATGCCTTTTAATCATCTTAGAAATCCAAAACAACTGAACCTATTAAAAAATTATCTCATCTAAAAACTTAAACTGATAAATAAGATTTTAGAACATAATTTATATTAGTATTTAATACATCTCCTAAGTGAAAATCTCAATATTTGATTTTGAAACTTACGTAGGTTTATATTGATCAGTTAAACTCTGATATTATATTAAAGAACTATTTTATCTAAAAACTGAAATTGATAATTAAGATTTTAGAATATAATTTATATTAATTTCTAACATAACATTTTTCTTTTTTTTATCTTCTCTCCCTTTCCTCAACATTCAAAAACTTGCTTGTATTGTAAACGAAGTTTAAGGACTGTTTCATATAATATTATAATGTAAAGAACCAAAATGTAAAATAATAGACAAAATTTTTAGAAAAATCACTTAATTTTTTTTGGCAAAGCAACTCCATTTCAAGCTTTTAAAAAATATATATAAAACGACACAATTTTGTTCACTGTAATAAAAATTTAGCTACAGTAAAACACTGTTTTATTTATATATATATATAATAACAGCATAGAAAGGAGCAGTTTTCTTCAATCTAATTAATATTCATTTTAGGAGTAAAGAAGAATGATTACGGACGTGCAAACATCACATGATTCAGGTTCATCCATTATGAACAGGTGCTATTGCTTTCTATTTTTTTGTCTCGTTCTTTTATTTATTTTTTATTTTTTTGGCTTTTCTGTACTTTTCCTTTCAATTTTCAAAAGCATTGTAACAAGTTCGATCCGCCACCTTTTAAGATTCTTGGAAAAACATTCAGACAAATGTTTTCTTGTTTTTCTTAATCAATACATCATAGTACATAGTTAAAAATTAATTGATTGACTTGATAGACAATAATTATAGAAATATATAAGAAGTAGAACAAGCACATTAATTTGTTTATGATTAAATAAAAAACGTTTATTAATTAGAGAAATATATATACAAGAAATGACCAGGCTGGGAAGTTAAGACGAGCAATAGACGCAGCCCAATTGCAAGGATAATAAAAAACTGCAAACAAATGCGATAAAGATAATGTTACGAACAAGAAATTCAAGGAACACAACACAAAATAGGACATCAAGAAAGCAAGACAATCATTCTAAAATAATAATAATTTATTGTACTAGGCAAAAAAAAGCTGAATATTAAGAAAAAAAAACTTATGTATGATTTTAAAGTGAAATTTACAATTGGGTCCATTAATCCAACAAATTCTGTGTATTTTTGAATTTTTTAATGTTTAATATTACTTTATTACATCTATTAATCTCATCCGGAATCGGTTTTATAATTGAGAGATTACCTTGAATTTCGATCATTTTAATGGATATTTTTGAATTTTAAATCATGGAAAGAGTGGTTTACCACACTACATATAATAAGAAATTAGACATTTGATCTTATGATGGCAACGGAAAACAAAAAAAAAAAAGTTGGAAAGAATTTACTTGAGAGTTTATTGATTTAAATGGATGACGTTTTACTTTAAAAGAAGTTCAGGCTAGAAATAGTTTATAATTATTTCTACGCTAAATGGTATAATTTTTTCCTGAATTTTTACAATTTGAGAATTAATCCTTTAATTTTTAATTTCAAATTGAATTTTTTTTTTAATTTTTTTGAAATTGGATATTTCTATTACATTTTTATCAATTCTAAGATACAAATATAGTTCCATAGCAACTAAAAATATATTAATATTCGTTCCATACCATCAGGGAAGAAGACTAATGGTATGAAGATTTGGGTAAAATATACATTTCCTCGAAAATGAAAAAAAGCGATCTATTTTCATTTGTTATTTTGGCTAAAGACTTAGAAACGATGAAAATGATATTTTATAATGTTTTATAATAGAAGAAACAAGTTTTGGGAGAAAAAATAAATCATTCATAAGTTTTAATACATTTTTAGATAATAAAAGAATTAAAAAAATCAACTCTGTGTAAATTATATACACTTATACCGTTTATAATTAACGATAATTGAACAAAAAGAACAAATTAAGATTAAAGTCCAACTCAAAATTAATGTCTAAATGATTTAAAATTCATAGAAAGTTTGTACCATTTTCCTTTATTTCTATTTCGATTGCTTTCTTTTTAATATTATATTTTTCCATTCTACATTTTGACTTCAATTTACATAACATAGTTCCATAAGGTGAGGAAATTAAATTCAAACAAATTAAATTCCAGAAAGTTAGTACAATTATTTGTGATTTTTTTAAACAAAAGAAATACTTATGACTTACTCAAAAAGTTAATTCTAACAATTATTCAATTCAAATTTTGTTTTAAATCAAATTTAAAAATTTTCAGTCTTAGCTTATTGATTAAAAAGTTACTCTTATAACTAATGCCAAATACAATTTTACTTTTACACTTTCTCACGAAGATATTCTTACCTCAATCTCATGAGCCGATTTGAAGAAAACGACTATTGATCAATCGAATACCAGAAACCGAAATGCTTCCTTTCAGCTTTGATGCAATATTTGTTTACTCCATTCTCTTGCTCATGCATAAAGGTAACTCTATCTCCTTGCTTAAGCCCTTTATGAAGAACATAGGTGCCCCATTGGCCAGATATCCAAGGTTTTGGATACTTACCTTGATTGCGAACTGATATCTTCAATCTCCAAGGATGGGCTAGCATGTCAAATGCATCAAATTCAACCGAATTCTGACCGGCGGGCAAGGAGAAAGCCCTCAAGCTCTCGGTTGGAAATTCGAGCCGGTTGTTACTTGTGTCACTTTTAGATAACAATTTAGCCATCACTTCCATTTCTAGGGTTCGGGTGAGCTATACTAAATGGTTAATTTGAAGAATTTAAAATGGGGATATGGTATATATGGGAGTTGGATAGATGTCGCATTATATAGCTCAAATGGAGATTTATAAACCTCAACCTACTCTACGGTTAAATTTTAGAACTTGCACTGGGGCCATGCGCAGAAATTACCAAGGATATTATGGTAAAGTTACCTGAATCGTTTACTTAGAAAATGATAGTGGAGTCCACTAGCATGTAAGCTTCGGGTGGATTACATGACGTAAGGTCTGAAAATGGTACCGGTCAAGCTGACTGAAAACCTCGTGCAAGTTCTTTTGACCACCTATTGATGACGTGTTTTTGTAATAGATTGGATTAATTCTTTTACTCGTATTAATTTTGTTATTATCAGATAAAATACATAAAATTATTTAAAAAATTATTTTATTTGGATGTTTCGTTTTATATTATATATTTATTAAAATATATCAAATCAAAACTTAATAAAAATTTATTCGATTTTATAATTTTAAATCAAAATTTTATATTTGACTAATTATTCTTTGTATTTTCATAAATTTTTTAAAACATTATTTATTTATCTCTATCCACATCCTTAGCTAAAAACTTATTTTGTAAATTATTTTTTTATAAACATCCATTTGTTTTAAAAATTTTAATTAAAAAATCGAAAAAAAATAAGGATCAAAGTGATCAAAATAAAACAAAAAAGAGAGACCAGAATCAAATAAAAAATATTTGTGATTTAAAAAAGAGGGACTAAAATTTAATGTCAACAAATTTTATAATAAATGTTTTAAAAATATTTAAAAACTATAAAAATATCACTATATAGTAAAAGAAATAATGCATCTAAGTCTCGGATGAATAGTGAGAATGAATCTAGGTGAATAATATTTCAATTAATTCAGTGAATTGTAACTGATGGTTTTAGTTTAGTTTTTTTTTTCTTTCTTTCTTTTTGTAATTTCTTTCTAAAATTTATCATGAGTGGAGTAATCAACTATTTCGAAATAAAAAAACATAGATTCTAACTGTCTATTATGCACGCAGTTATATCAAGGATAAAAAAAAGTTAAACAACGTTGTAAAAAAACAAAAAAAAAACCCTAAAAAAAGCTAGTGTAAGTTTTTGAAAGGAAAAGCCTAGCAAACTGCGAGAGAGCAAATAAATAAAGTTACAAATAAAGGTAAAAGATAAACGATATAGCTAGCAGCTGTAAATAAAGGGTTGTTTGATGGAGAATTGAAAGGAGGTTAAATTTTACCCTTCTAAGATTTAAGCTTGTTTGACATTTTTTTCAAGGGATTAATTATTAAGAGGTGTAAAAAACCATCTCAACTCAAAAGTTTAAAATATTAAATGAAATCTGAAAATATAATTTATATTTTTTTCTAATATACATGCTCAAATGAAAACTCTTTAGCTTTGAAATTTATACGTATTCACACTATTTTGCATTCAATTAGAAGAGAAAGCAAAGATGACGGGTTTCAAATTCGTGATCAAATATCATATAAATAAACCTTTTAAACTTTTAAATAAATTAATCTTAAAATATTATTTTTATTACTTCCTAATAAGAGGTACCTTTCAATTGGTGTTTTTGGAGGATAAATTTTACCCTCCAAATAATTTCTTTCTTTTTTCTTTTTTTGTTTCATTCTTCATTTTCTGTATATACCCCAAATTAATTTTTACAGGGTTTGAGGATAGTGTTCCATGTTGTTCTAGCTTGTTGTCCTTTCAGCGTCAAATACAATTGTGACAAATTTGAATGTCAAATAACTTGTGATTAATCAATATGATTCAACAATCAAAAAGCAATCAATGTATGAACAAACGGATTGAAAAACCAAAAAGAAACAAACAAAGGAAACTTCTGTCATGAGATTAAGTGTATTTGGACTCCATATGGTGTAAAACGAAGAAATATGTAACCATTATTTCTAAACTCTGTAGAAAGAAAATCTGACGGTGCCTCAAAATTTCAATGTCTCTACCGTACAAGCTGATCTTATTTTAAGATTCTCATGTTCTAAAATCATATGAAAACCTTCAATTTTAAGGTAAATTCTTGTATGATCATATGGGACCAAGCAAGTCAATGGTGCATGATCATATGGGACCAAGCAAGTCGATGGTGCACTGGATTGCGGTTTTATTTCTTTATTTTATGTTGAAAAAGACTGATTTATCTTGCAGATGCCGTGTATGATGGAAATGCAGTCTTTATCAATAAAAATAAAAAGAAGAATATTTGCATTCAAGAAAAAATAAATCATAATTTTTATCCTGTGTTTGGATATTTTCGCTTGGGAGGAAAGAAAATGAGAGAAAAGAAAATTATTTTTCACTTGTTGTTTGGATAAAAGTAGAAATGAAATGAAAGAAAGTATATTTTACTTTGTTTGGATAATTATAAAAAAAGAAAAGAAAAATATATATTATTAAATATTTACTATAATATCCTTATAATTATATTTTTATATTTATTGTCACATTCAAATTCTTTTTCTAGAGTAATTGAGGTTACAAAAAAAACTAATTACAAAAGATGTATTTATCCGTTATAATAAGACTCCCATCAGCCATCCCTTTACGCAAAAATAAAAAATTAATTAAAAAAACTCGAATAAACATGAGATTTGTAAGTTTCTAAAGTGTGTAAAGAAGCAAGGTCCTGGTATTTTTTCATAACTTGAGGAAAGATCAAACATTATAAATTACCAGACCCAGGAACCAGGTGAACAAGTCAACTATAGTCGCAATTTATGGAAAATTTTCAAATCGTAACCAATTTCTCACTTTTAGGGGCACATCAGGCATGGAAAACCACGCATTGTTCAAGAACATATATATTTGGTCGATCATTGCCATTTCCACGGACCATTTGTAAAAAATATATATAAAACTGTGATGAAAAAAAAAAAAAGACTTCATCTAACTCACCAAGAAATTTCCATGGTTCGAAATGATCAAACGAGCTGTCTAATACATCTGAAAAACTGATCATTCTATAAGATAAGAAACAAAACCCTTCCAGATAAAAAACACAGAAATCGACAAGGCTGTTCAAATTGATGAACTAAGATCACCACTCAAGAGGAAGCTTGAGACTTCTTTGACTTACTGGTTGCTAGTTAGGTCTCAGGCCGCAATTTCGTATACAGACTTGACAGCCCAGCGTCATTATCCATTCGAGTGTCTGTTCTTTGCTTGAGCAATACGCCCCACTCTACCACAGAAGCGTCGGAAAGGAATGGCCTGTTTGTGAGCAATACATCTTCCAAATACCTCTTGGCCTTGATCAAAGGCAACTTCCTTAGTGCAAAAGCTGTCTCCCTTGTATTCTGCATCACATTAAAATGGATGCACATCAAAACAAGCTAAGAAAATCTCATAATGGGGAGACATAAAAGCTCAGAACATGATTGCAAACAAACTCATCCAACACACTGGGACGATTGGAGTTTATAGAATTCCATATTAAAACCATTTGAGAGAGAAAATTCAAAGGGAACAAGGGTCCAAACATCAATTGATGGCAATTAAAAAAAGAGCATCTATATTGCTCTGTGCACCAAAGATTGGTAATTATTAAATTTAAGACTTTATAATACCTTAAAATGAACTCTGAGGTCAGAGCCCTTGCCTTGCAAGCTGCAAAATAAGCATAGACACAATAATATCAGAATAAGATGTTTGATATTCATAAGCAAGCACAGAATACCCAAATAGAAAAATATTAGTACACTTACACTTGGTGGGATTATTAGGCTCTCTAAAGTACTTCACCTAAAAATGCAAAGAACAAGAAACAGAGTGTGATTTACATATGTGGAGCTTCAATGCAAGCAACAAAGAAAGAAAAGAGAGAGAGTCGGAGATGTACCATGGTGGCTGCACCTTCTGTCCTGTCGAAGCTGGAGATACGTTGATTTGGTGGCTCTAGTAAAAAATTCACCCTGAAATTGAGAACCAAAGAGAAACAAGAAAAACCCATCTAAAAAAAATAAAATTACAAAGACCCAATTGTAACCCTCGTAAAATCCGTAATAAAATCCGTAATCGTATAAGTGTACGTATCGAGATATTTATATTCGTACGTGTGTATATATATATATATATATATATACATATATGTTACGTACGTGAAAATCAGTAACTAGTGTCAACATATGTACTATAATATGTAGTATGTACGTATTTGTTGAGAGTAATAGGTGTACGTCAATATTTATATATATAAAAAAAACGTTGGGTAAATTAGTTAGAAAATTTCTTTTATATGGAATAAGTATAAATTAAAAAAAAAAAGAGAAAGTGCTAATTGTCGAAATTTCGGGAGGAATTCTGAAAATATAGTTAATTTAATTGCCCTCATTTAATCACATTTTGGCTCCTACTTTCTACAAATTTTCATTGACCATCACCTCTTCTTTCTTGAAATTTAAACCCATCATTTCATTAATTTCAGCCACATTTACCTTGCATTTCACCACAAGCTCTTGACACTTGTAATGAACATTAAATGGATGAGATTAGGTGAGATATTTAAGTAAGAAAAAATGGGATAAGGATGCATTTTTGGTGCATCCCGTAGCTGCCTTAAAACCAAGAAAGAAAGAGTCAAAGAGAGGGGAGAAAGAGAAAAAAGGGAAGGAAAAAGAAGAGGAAACTAAAAGGAAGCAAAAGAGATTTTAGGAAAGTTAATCCAATGTAAGTAGGTTTCATTTTTTTTTCTTGCTTTGTTTATGCTTTCCATATTTATTTTATGAGTTATTTAATTCATGTGAAATGTGATTATGGTATTTGTGATGATTTTAAACACTTGATGTTTGATGATGGATGGTTAAGCATGTGTGTTGAGAAATGTGCTTTAAGAGAAGATTTTCGGATTTTAGAGGTGGAAAAACCCGAACATGGTGTGATTTATTTCGGCATCTTAGAGTGATTTTTAGAACCAATTCAAAGAATGAAAGTTGTTGATATATGTGTCTAATATGTTCCTTTAAAATTTCGTGACTTTTAGAGATATATATATGGAGTTATGACTGAATTGGTATGGATCGTTCGGATGGAACCTCTACTGGAAAAATATTTCATTCCGAAAGTTGTGCGATTTATTTCAGGATCATAGAGTGGTTTTTGGGCAGAACTCAAAGAAGTAAAGTTATTCATTTATGTGTCTACTATATGTATGTAAAATTTTATGATTTTTAGATCTGTATGTAAGGATTTATGACTGATTTGGTACTGGTCGTTGAATGGACCAGCTACTGGAAAAGTTTATTTAGTTCCGAAACGTGTGTGAATTATTTAAGGATTTTAGAATTATTTTTGGAGGAAATGTAAAGAATGAAAGTTGTTGATATATATGTCTAATATCCCTCCTTAAAATTTTGTGAGTTTTAGATATATATTTAAGGAGTTATGGCTGGTTTGGTATAGGTTGTTTAGGTGTGCCACTGCTGGAAAATTTTAACCTAAAATAAATGGACTTGGGCTTGGATTAAAATAAATGGGCTTGGACTAATATTAATGGGCTTGGACTTGAGTTAAAATGATATGGGCTTGGATTTAAAAAAATAAGTGGATTTAGATTAAAACAAATGGACTTGGGCTTGGATTAAAATAAATGGCTTTGACTAATGTTAATGGGCTTGGACTTGAATTAAAATAAGATGGCTTGGATTTAAAAATAAAGTGGACTTAGATTAAAACAAATGGACTTGGACTTGGATTAAAATAAATGGGCTTGGACTTGAATTAAAATAAGATAGGCTTGGATTTAAAAATAAAGTGGACTTAGATTAAAACAAATAGACTTGGACTTGGATTAAAATAAATGGGATTGGACTTGAGTTAAAATGAGATGGGCTTGGATTTAAAAATAAAGTGAACTTAGATTAAAACAAATGGACTTGGACTTGGATTAAAATAAATAGGCTTGGACTTGAATTAAAATAAGATGGGCTTGGATTTAAAAATAAAGTGGACTCGGATTAAAACAAATGGACTTGGACTTGGATTAAAATAAATGGGCTTGGACTTGAGTTAAAATGAGATGAGCTTGGATTTAAAAATAAAGTGGACTTAGATTAAAACAAATGGACTTGGGCTTGGATTAAAAAAAATGGGCTTGGACTAATATTAATGGGCTTGGACTTGAGTTAAAATGAGATGAGCTTGGATTTAAAAATAAAGTGGACTTAAATTAAATCAAATGGACTTAGACTTGGATTAAAATAAATGGGCTTGGACTTGAGTTAAAATGAGATGGGCTTGGATTTAAAAATAAAATGGACTTAGATTAAAACAAATGGACTTGGGCTTGGATTAATGTTAATGGGCTTGGACTTAAATAAAATAAACTTGGTAATGGACTTGGACTAATATCAAAAGACTTGGTTTTAAAGTAGATGGGCTTAGACTAACGAAAATGGGCTTAGGCTAAAATAAGTGGACTTAGATAGAAATAAAAAGGATTTTAAAATTTTAAAGAAAATTTATTCTTTCATAGAGGAAAAAAAAAGAATTGGACCTTTTTTTAATTATTAATGAAACTAATAAACAATATTAATGAGCGGAGGTTGTGTTCCCGCTATGACTACCATGATTGGTATGTCGAGCGTCGAGTGAATCCCGAGTGATTGTTAGACCGTGAGTATGGCTTGAGAAAGAAGGGCTGGTACCCGAGTTTTGTTGAATGTGATTAAACATGTCATCACGTGCATTATGTGCATTGGGGGTGGAAATAAATTGAGAAAAATCATTGAGGCTTGAATTGACATGGTTTGGTAACCGAATTGAGTGGATTAGGTAATAGCAAGGAATCCATAGTGCGAGCTCTATTTACTAACACCGTTAAGCGAGGGATAATTTCGCTAACCGTGTGCTACAACGAGGGATAATTCCGTTGCGAGCGGTAGGTGATATTGAGATCACCGAGAGAAAGTAATAGAGCAATAGGTGATAACACGATCACCGAGAGATTGGGCGTACGGACTTGCATATACCTAGGGTACCCGGATTAAAATGGATGAAAATATGAGAAACACAATAACACCGCATATCACGTGCATCACCCTACTTACCGAGCTTTGGCTCATTCCGTTATTGTATTTATGTGTTGTTCAGGCAAAGGTAAAGTTAAGTCGATCGAGGATGCTACCGATTCTCGCTAAAAGAGGCTTATGTGTCACTCATAAAAATAGGAATATCTTTTGTATCATTAAAAAGGGGTACGGGCCTAGGTTGTAAATTTTTAGGCATTTTGAATATATTATAAATTATAGAACTATCCGTAATAATGTTGTAAATTATATCATACGTTTTCCATGGTTTAGTTTCTATTGTGTATGATGGAGGAAGTAGGGGACTTAGTCCCAACAATGTGTCGCGCGTCTGGTCACGCTTGTTAGGTAATAGGTAAGGGAGTCGGAGGCGTCACACCGGTAATCAAAGAACAAGAAATGGCAAAATGACACCAATCTAAGCAAATAAATGAAAAAAAAAACAAATAATAAGCATAAACTGAAGGGCGGTTATCCTCCGCCCTCCGCTTTGTTGATAGAGAGAAGGTAAAGCTGGAGAAAGTTCTAGCGGGCGGGGAAGGAAGAAAATGGTGTATTTTTTCATTTTTAATCTAATTTTGATGTTGAATTTCAAACTAGAAGTCAAATCACACATTCTAGAGCAAACATAACTCATCTTATAGAAGACAAAGAAAAAAATCAAACAACACATTACCCGTCGGTAAGTCGTCGATGTGTAGAATTGGTGTGCCCTCTTACACCGGTAAGCCTTCGGCCCTTGTCTTTGTACTTGGGCGTAGGCCCTCTTACCCTCGGATCAGTTGCCCAAAATCAAGAAAATACTTAAAATTCTCGAGTCCTAGATCTTATAAGCCCTAGATTTCAAACTAAGACGGACTACTTCTTTACTCACTACTAGCAAAAAAGAGAAAGGCTTCTCACTCTTCCCTTAACTCAATAGCTCGGAAAGAAGACTTAGTTGCACCGATTTTAAAGGATTAGGCACTCGAAAGGGTGGGATCGGACTACTCGTAAGATCCTATTATAAAAGAGCCGTTGAAGTCGTTGTCCCTGCCGTGATTTGTTACTGTAGAGAGTGTAGAGAAAAAGAGACGAACGATGAGGCAAATGAATGCAAAAAATGAGAATATCTCATATTTTGATGATTTCTCGGGTTTTTTCTCCCGGTTTCCTCCCAATTTTAGGAGGAAAATAGGTCGCACCATTTATAAGTTTGCTTAATCTTTTTTTTTCTTTCCACGACTTTCCTCCCCAAAACAAACGAAGCAAACTTTTCTTTCCTCCTTAATTTTCTTTCCTCTCCTTCACTTTTCACCCTTTCCAAACAATGGGTTAGTTTCAACTCAATGGTTTTTTTAGATAAATTTAAGGCTAAACAAATAACAAGATGAATATTTTAGGTTAACATAATATGAAACCGATTGTAATTTAAAAATTTTCTAAGAACATGGAACGTAAATTATCTTATTTGACCAAGAGATTAAATCAGCAAAGCCATGCTCCCGGAACACCACAAAAAGCAATAAGCCGGATGGAGTTTTGATATAAGACCACAAGCAATCGTAGAACCGCAGTAGAGCTGAGATAGCGACAAAAAAGTAGACGAGTAGAAAAACAACAACACAACTAGCTATAAAATCATCCGGAACTTGTAGAAGCCATAGATTGCGGGAAAAAAAGGTTCGAAACCCACATGCTAATCAAAAGTTCGGGACATAAAAATGCAAAACAAAACAATAAGAAGTAGGATCCGCATCATCACTAGAAACAATGCTCGCACCAACCGATTGAGTCTCTCAAAATTCACATTTATGAATCAAGTATTACACATGACCATGAAATGATGAAGATAACAAGTGAGTTCATACCATAACCATATACGAACATTATCCACCAAAATCACCCTTAAAAATAATAATCAATACCGATAGCCAATGTAGCAGACCACAATGTATCATGAATCGCATCATCCTAACCAATGTAATACAATAGAGAGTTAAAGACCCAATATGTTTTTATATAGTAAGTTAATTCTTTGATTTGTCTTTATATATTTAGTTGAACTAATTGTATCTTTAGGTATACATTAAAAAATTCCCAAGAATCAATTACCTAAATTATATCAATCTATTTTTTTTAAAAAAAATAATCATGTTCTAAAATTTAAATCCAAAAATTAAAGAATAAACGTGCAACATCCGCAAAACATTGCATATAAAAGAGTTTTTTGTGGGGATAACCAATAGTGTTTTGTGAGACAACATATAAAATGCTTCCAGAAAAATAAGAAATTTAACAAAAATGTCATTGTGAAGCGAGAATGTAAAATGCTTATAAAAAATGCCGATATTCACAAAAATGCAATTAATGAATTTTATTTTGTGAAATGGTGAACACTATTGTGTACGGTAATTTTTTTTTTGTTTTTCTTAATTTCCTATAATTTTTCTAAGTTTTTTTTAAACTATTTGTAATGACTCTATAACTTTCTTGGCTACCCACTAGTTTTTTCACTCTTAATCTATTATCGACTTTTATGTTAATTTTAAATCCAAAATTTAAAAATTTACGAAAATGTCATCGTGAATGTCAAAGAACTATCTCGTTTAAAAACTTAAGTGCTTTGGGCTTGAACTTGCATAGGTCCACAATACCTTGTGGTTAATTAACTAGAAGAGAAAGTGAGGGTTGGTAGGATTCGAACTCATGATCGTTTGGTCATCAAGGCTCTAATACCATGCCAATGGACCATCTCATCCAAAAGTTTAAGCTATTAAGTGATGCCATTGGATATGATTTATATTATTCTTTAACGGTGAAGCAACATATAAAATGTCTATAGAAAATGCCGATGTTCATGAAAATGCCATTAATGAATCTATAGTAAATAAGCGAGTGTTTTGTGAGATGGTGAACAATATTATGTATAGTATTTTTTTGTTTTGTTTTAATTGTTTTTCTTAATTTCTTATAGTTTTTATTTTATTTTTTTCCTCAACTATTTGTAATGACTATAACTTTGTTAGTCGTCGACTGACTTTTTCACTTTTAATCTATTATCTAACGAGTGTTGCTCTAATATCATGTTAATGGATCATCTCATCCAAAAGCTTAAACTATTAAGTGATGTCTCATGATATGATTCATATTATTCTTTAACGGTGAAGCAACATATAAAATATTTATAGAAAATGCCGATATTCATGAAAATGCTATTAATGAATCTATAATAAATAAACAATGTTTTATGAGATGGTGAATAGTATTATGTATAGTATTTTTTTGTTTTGTTTTAATTGTTTTTTCTTAATTTCCTATAGTTTTTTGAGTTTTTTTTCCTCAACTATTTGTAATGACTATAACTTTGTTAGCTGTTGGCTAAGTTTTTCACTCTTAATCTATTATTTGACGAGTGTTGCTTTGATACCATGTCAAAGGATCATCTTATCCAAAAGTTTAAGCTATTAAGTAATGCTCCAACATAAGATTTATATTATTCTTTAACGAGTGAAGCGAGCATATAAAATATCTATAGAAAATGTCAATATTCATGAAAATGCCATTAATGAATCCATAGTAAATAAACAGTATTTTGTGAGACGGTGAACATTATTATGTACAATATTTCTTTATTTTTGTTTTAATTGTTTTTCTTAATTTCCTATAGTTTTTTTTTCCTCGACTATTTGTAATGACTATAACTTTGTTAGCTATCAGCTGACTTTTTCACTCTTAATCTATTGTCGACTTTAATTAATATATATATATATATATATGTATTACACTTGCTATAAATAATACTAAGTATCAGATGTGATCTAACAAACTATGCCTTATCTGACAGTGTTGTTGACAGTAGCAATTTTTATATATATATATATATGTATCACACTTGCTATAAATAATGATTGTTTCTGAGTTAATTAAATGATTGTTCCCGGTGCTGTTAGTATTAATTTTTTCTCTTGATGAATTATAGAGAAGGGTTCTGTAATTAATGACATCATTGAAAGTGAAAATTACAAGAACCGAGAACAAGTTAATTAAGATGAAACTACTTGGTATACCTTTTTGTCCAACTCTTTCAGAAAACCCGTATGCCTTATTATTGTACTTTAAGAATACACAATGGGAGTGAATTTTCACTTCGAAAACAGATTCTACAGCTTCACAGTCACAATTGTTTCATCGAGTTGTCAAGATTTGAATTAGCTTTTTAACGAATTTCTATATCAAAAGTTGCATGAAGTTGTGGAGATTTAAATTAGCTTTTAAATTAAAAATTGTTAAGGAATGAATAAGCAAAAAAATATAATATAAAAAATAAAAACAATTACATATTTACGTGACTTGACAATTGTACTTCGATTGGAGCACACAAGGATTAGGCCGCTAATTAATCAGCCCATGGAAACCAATAAGCTGATGGTAGAGAAACAAATACAAACTCAGCCCACCAAGGCCCAGCCCTCAATCTTGGGGCATCATCAAATTTCACCATAAAATTAAATTAATTACAATTTTTTGTCAGGTCCGCCGCAGATTCCAAAAGGTGAGAAATGAGTTGCTGCAACTTCCAGGAAAAAGCAGAGAGGCAGATGCGAGAAGGAAGCTGAGAAGAAAAGAGATAGAAATATGGAAAAAGAATATTTGTTCAATTCACCATTCATTTTCTGTCTCCTGGCAGATTGCAAGAAGCACTTGTCAAATTTATTTGATAAGTTGGCTCTTCTGATAATCAGAAAGTCAACAAATCGAGGAGATTCCAAGAAGGAGATGGACAGGCTGCAGGATAGGCTTCCCATCATTCAAGCTGGGATCGAAGATGCAGAGGAGAGACAGCTTGGAGATAAGAAGATGAAGATTTGGCTGGAAAAACTTAAAGATGTGGCCTGTGATGCTGATGATTTATTGGACATGATCCATGCTCAATTTTTATACAATCGGCCACTAAAAGTCACCACCCATGTTTTCCCCAGATTCCACCCTGGGAATACTCGGTAAACGGAAGCTTCTGGCAGGTGAGTTTTTCGAGGTGATAAATAGAAAGGTACGGATGACTTCTCAGGCTCTTGAATCAATTCAAAATTACTTCAGAAAGTTGCGTAAATTGAAAGAGATTGGATGATATAGCGAAGGAGATGAGTGAGTTCCACCTTCAGGAGTTTTGGTGTCCAGACTAACACAGACTTGTAATAGACAAGGGAGAGAAACTGGACCTTACATAGTTGAGTCTGAACTGTGTGGTAGAAAAGAGGATATTAAAAAGGTAGTGGAAATGTTATTGACATCTAATCCTGATGTCTGGATTATTCCAATAATTGGAATTGGAGGTATTGGAAAAACAACAGTTGCCCAATTAGCTTACAATGATGAGAGAGTGGGGAAGCATTTTGACTTGAAGATCTGGATCTCCCTATATGATGATTTCAATCCTAGGAAGATTATGAGTGAAATGTTGGATTATGGCGCCAAGGGCAAGTATGATTCCACTTCCCAGATGGGTTTGCTGCAATCACAATTGAGGGAAGCATTGTGCTGAAAAAGATATCTCCTTGTGTTGGATGATGTGTGAAATGAGGATCCAGATGAATGGGATAAAGTAAGGAATCTGCTAGGAGATGGTACAAATGGAAGCAAAGTTGTTGTCACCAGCCGGAGCTGGAAAGTAGCATCAGTAATGAGCACTAGTCCTCCTTACCATTTGCAAGCCCTGTCCGAAGATGATTGTTGGACTTTGTTTAAGCAGCGAGCTTTTCCGGATGGAGATGAAAATGTTTTTCCAAACATGTTACCTGTTGGAAAACAGATCTTTGGCGAGTGGAAAGGAGTGCCTTTGGCAGCCGAAGTTCTTGGAGCTTGATGCGGTTCAAACGAGAAGAAAGTGAATTATAAATTATGACTTCTGCAGAAGAGCGGTCAGTTCACAAGTTGCAAGCCAGCTCAAACTGTGTTGAAACGGCAGGTGTATTAATGCAGTAGACTAATCAACATCAAACTGGAGTTGAGGATGAGACGATTGTTTCTGTGGAAGAGAGGGGAGTGACTTCGCAATCACAAGCTAAAAGCCAGCTGATTCAAAGAGTAGATGTTCTAGTTCAATAGATGACTCAATAAGAAAATGCATTAGAGTACGAAACAATGATTTCTGTGGAAGAGGAGTAGGAGACTCCCCTCCTCAAAGAAAAACGTAGTTGAGGATGAAATGATGATATCTGCAGACGAGGGGCTTAGACATATGGTTCATTCACTTCGTCCTCTAATGCAGTTTCTTGTTGAGTAGTCTCTTGTACATATGCTGTTTGAACCTACTGGCTTTTAGCTTGTGAATGTGGTGACACTCCCCCTTCTTCCATAGAAACAATCGTTTCATCCTCAACTTATAGTTTTAGGTTGATTAGTCTACTGCATTAGTACACCAGCCGTTTGGAGTGCCTTTGGCAACCAAAGTTCTTGGAAGCTTGATGCAGTTCAAACGAGAAGAAAATGAGTGGTTGCCTTGCAAGGGAGTGAATTATGGAATTTTGAAGGAGGGGAGAATAAAATACCATTGGTGCTGAAGCTGAGTTTGAATCATCTGCCATCAAATTTAAAACGATGCTTTGCTTAATGTGCAGTTTTTCCACACAAAAAAAAAAAAAAAGAAATAAATAAAGGAAAAGTTGATCCATCAATGGATTGCCGGGGTATTAGTTCAATGTTCTACTCATGATTAGCTTACAATGATGAGAGTGTGCTGAAGCGTTTTGACTTTAAGATTTGGATCTCACTATATGATGATTTCAATCCTAGGAACATTATGAGTGAAATGTTGGGTTATGGTGCTAAGGGCAAGTATGATTCGACTTCCCAAATGGTTTTGCTGCGATCACAATTGAGGAAAGCATTGTACTGAAAAAGATATCTCGTCCTGTTGGATGATGTGTGGAATGAGGATCCAGATGAATTGGATAAAGTAAGGAATCTGCTAGGAGATGGTACAAATGGAAGCAAAGTTATTGTCACCAGCCGGAGCTGGAAAGTAGCATCCGTAATGAGCACTAGTTGTCCTTACCATTTGGAAGCCCTGTACAAGGGTGATTGTTGGACTTTGTTTAAGCAACGAGCCTTTCCGGATGGAGATGAAAATGTTTTTTCCGAACCTGTTACCTATTGGAAAACAGATCATGGACAAGTGCAAAGGAGTGCCTTTGGCAGCCAATGTTCTTGGAAGCTTGATGTGGTTCAAACGAGAAGAAAGTGAATTATAAATTATGACTTCTGCAGAAAAGGGGTCACACAACCAAGTTCACAGGTTACAAGCCATCTGGTCCAAATGGCAGGTGTACTACTACAGAGAATAATCAACCTCAAACTAGACTTGAGGATGAAACGATTGTTTCTGTGGAAGTGAGGGGAGTGTCACCACATTCACAACCTAAAAGCCAGCTGATTCAAACAGCAGATGTACTAGTTGAGGAGACTACTCAACAAGAAATTGCATTAGAAGACCAAACAATGATTTCTGTGGAGGATGAGCAAATACGACCGTGTTCACAAGTTGAGGGCCAGCTGGTTCAAATAGCAGGTGTGAAAATGCAGGAGACCGTCAATTTGGAACTCATGCAGGAGACTCCCCGCCTCCAACAATCATTGTTTCATCCGCTAATGCAGTTTCTTGTTGAGTAGTCTCTTGAACTAGTACATCTGCTCTTTGAACCATCTGGGTTTTGGCTTGTGAATGTGGTGACACTCCCCCTCTTCTACAGAAGCAATCATTTGGTTGATTAGTCTCCTGTATTAGTACACCTGCCGTTTGGACTGCCTTTGGCAGCCAAAGTTCTTGGAAGCTTGATGCGGTTCAAACGAGAAGAACGTGAGTGATTGTGCGGCAAGGGAGTTAATTATGGAATCTTGAAGGAGAGGAGAATAAAATACTATCAGTCCTGAAGTTGAGTTTCAATCATCTGCCATCATCACATTTAAAACGATGCTTTCCTTATTGTGCAGTTTTCCAAAAAAAAAAAAAAAAAATTGAAATAAGGAAAAGTTGATCAATCAATGGATTGCCAAGGGATTAGTTCAATGTTCTATTCAAGATTCAGTTTCCAAGCCTGAAGATATTGGTTGTGACTAGTTCAATGATCTACTAACGATGTCTTTCTTGGAAGTGCTGAGTAGAAGCGATGACAGGAGCACGACAAAGATTAAAATGCACGATTTTATTCATGATCTTGCTAAATCTGTTGTTGGGAATGAATTCCTGACTGAAGGGAAGACCAAACGGCAACAAACCTTGGCACAGAGCCCCTCCTTGCCAATAGTTTGTGAATTTTTCACAAAAACTAGACATGCAGCTGTCGATTGCACTTCTACATCCAACCTGATTTCCGGAGCCTTGTACAGAGCAAAGGGATTGTGTAGGCTCGTTTTGTTGTCTTTAGGAGATGCATCTGAGAAAGCCATCAGGAATTTAACTTAAAGCTTCAAGTACCTCAGAATACTTAATTTGAGTGGGTTTGGCATAGAAAAACTGCATAAATCCGTTGGTGACTTGACATGCTGAGATAACTTGATCTCTCCGACACCCCAAACGAAAATTTACCAGCATCTATTTGTAACCTCCAATTGCAGGTTTATCAGGTTGCAATAATCTTCAAGAGTTACCCAAAAGGACGAGAGTAATGACCAGCCTGAGACATCTGAAGATAAAAAGCTGTACGAGACTTCCTCGCATGCCAGATGATATTGGGGAATTGATAAATCTTCAGAGCTTGCTAATATTTATAGTTGGCCAAACACGGCAGGCTGACATTTTTTCAGTTACTAAGCCTACAGAATCTCTTGGTGAATTGAAAATTAAACACCTAGAGAATGCAGATCCATGGATTGTTCACAAAAGCTGGGCAATTTCTTAAACAACAATTGGCTTGTTTCGGAGACTAGCAACTTGACTCGTTGGGACTATTGTGGGGAGATGTTGACGAACATAAGCTGAATGGTAGCGTGAGAGGACCGAGAAGCCAAACAGGGTACCGTCAAAGTGCTGAAGATGCAGAGGAACTACTTCGAACAATATTGAAGCCAAACTCCAGGATAGATAAGTTGTTCTTAAATGGCTATCCAGGAACTCAGTCTCTAGATTGGATGAATTCATTCACCCTCTGCAATCTTATAGTACTTGAGTTAGTCAACTGCACATTATGTGAAAGCCTCCCAGCACTAGGAGAATTCCCACTTCTCAAGGTTCTCCATGTCCAAGGAATGGAATCTGTGGTGAACATCGGCAATAGAGTTCTTTGGTGGTATGGGACCATTTTCATCATTGATTATCCCTCAGAGATTTTCCCAAGTTGAGAACCTCAGGCACAAATCCGGTGGACAGATTGGCTTGCGTGAACAAATTAACTATCATCAACTGCCCAGTTTTGATCACCATGCCATGGTTTCCATTTCTTCAACATGTAGAGGTGAGGAACTGCCCCCTAGTGATGGTTGGATTCGTAGCACAGCTACAATCACTCTCCACTCTTGTCATTGACAATTTTCCGGAGTTACTCAATATATCAAAAGCACTCATGGAAAACAATTTGCTTCTTTCGTCTTTGACAATATCCTCTTGTCCCAAACTTCAGTTCATTGCCTGCAAATTTTGGAGAACTCCAGAATTTGAAGTTGATAAAAATTTTGTTGGTTTCAGGATCGAGACTCTTTGCCACATGTGGATTCGAGAATCTCACTTCTCTGGAGACCTTGGTGATTATTGAGTGCCCGAATTTAGTCCCTCTCCCAGAGGAAAGCATAGAGGGATGGAGTTCACTGTGATCATTTGCCATTGAGATTTGTCACAGCTTAACTTCTTTGCCAAGTCGGATGCTACATGCCATGGCCCTTGAACGGCTACCTATTATTTATTGTTCAAATCTGGCGCCCTTGCCGAATGGCCTGCACCATCTCTTTGCACTTAAAAAGTTGAGTATTTTAAGCTGCACAGGGCCGGCATCAACATTGCGGAACCTGGAAACTCATGACTGTCCAAAAGTCACGGAATTGCAATCATGGGTGGAGAACCTGGTTTCACTTCGATCTTTGACAATTTGAGATTGCCGTAGCATCAAGTCTTTGCCAGACGGTCTCCAAGTTCTCCACTGACTCGCAACATTTGTCCATCAGAGGTTGTTCTGAACCTGAAAAACGATGTAAGATAGGGAAGGGAGAGGATTGGCAGAAAATATCTCACATACCCTATATTTATGTGGGATCATCAACATTGCAGCAGAGACGTGACACTGCCAGCAGCTCTTCATCTTCATAGGTACACCTCTTCCATGTCTTTACTACTGCAAATTTTCTATTTCGAAACAGTACTTGATCATTGAATGATCAATAAATCTTGATTTCTATTGCAACATTGCAGGTGCTAAACCTAGAGAGTGTGTTCTTTACCCAAACCACCAGGTACCTGTCACACCAAGGAGTGCTCTATCCTGTCATATAGCATTGAAAGATTGCAGCATGTAAACTGGATAATTCTTTTTCCAATAGTCTACTTTACGAAGGTGGAGATTCTTTCCCTGGAAAACGAACTGGGTTTCTTTTCCTGCAATTGTTTTTATTTATAAAACACAAAATAAGGTACATTTTCTATTTGATGATTTGTTGCAAGTTTTTTGACGACCATACATTTGTAATTACATCAGGATTGGCAAAATTGGATGAAAAATCATCAAAGAATGAAAAAAGAGAGACCATTACTGGATATGGTCCATATGCACCATTTCTTCCCCACAACTTCAATTTGAGAAAAATGAGCTTCTCAATAACCATGTTGATGGATCATCCCAAGATAAGGAAAATTAATTAAGACCCTAAAGAATTTTGCAGTTTCAATCTTGCCATCGATGAAAATGTCTCATTATCACTGCACTGTTGTCCTCAAAAATTTTTATGGTACTTTGTTCCTTCAAGGAGTTAGTTTTAGTTATGAAACAATTCATTTAGTCCCAGATCTCATGCTAATCTTGTTAATTATTTTATTGAAAAAATAACAAATTTATATTCATTTAACTTTACTCAATAAGATATCCTAAGATTATCAAAAAATTATATAACCATTTTCTCGATTGACGTAAAAGTTGGTTTGATGATATTTTTGATCATGGAAAAAAAAGAGTAGTAATAGATACATGATAAAGTGATTTATTTTGTTTTTCATTCGTCAAAGATAAAGCAAATGAAGTTTAGTATGTATTAGTATAGTATCTGCATGTTGATGCAGGTAAGTCTATATAATATGTTTTAATATTTTTAATAATTTAAAAAATAAAAATTAATCAATATTAATTGTGAGAATTTGTTTAATTTAACATGTATTATGTAGCATTTTATAACATGCTTATATTTCATATTTGAGTTTAAATATATCTTATGAATATGTTTGAGTTTGATGAATATAAAGAAAAAAAACACACTTATTAATTATTAATTTAAGAAAAATCAAAGTATAAGAGGGTGTTAAATCAATTTATGTTAGAAGAGTGTTTAATTTTAGTTAATGAATCTATAAAAAAAAATCTCAAAATAACCATTAACTATTGAGAAAAAAATTATTTTGAGCAAATAATAAATAAAAACATAAAAAAAAGAAACTAAAAGAAATTTATCATTAATCTCTGTTATGATTTTATTTTTCCAGAATAATAATGTAGCCAGCTATTGTAGTCTTTAAAAATTTCCGTGTGTGTTTAGGGGCGTAGGTGAAAGAATCTTGGAAGTTTTAGTATCAAGTATCAATACAGCAGTACAAATCTAGCCTTGGCTATTCTTGCCAACACACGTGGATGATCTCTATCTTTGTCTCATTTTCTCTCACCTCTTCCTCTTTGTTCTTGCATATGCTTATTACATCGTCTTGCATTGATTAATTATCATATATACTTATATTATTGTCAAAAAAAAAAAAGAAAGAAATTAAATATCATTTTTTTTATAAGATTGCATGAAGAATAATTTTTTTCTACAACAATAACTACTTTTATACTAATTTGAAAGGAAAAATAAAATAAAAAGTCAAAATCATGAAAATAATCATTTTTTTAGGATGTATGAAACAAAAAAAAAAAACCATTAAGTATTTGGAGAAAATTTATACTGAGAAAATAATAGAATAGTAATATATTATGCAAAAATAATTAAAAAGAAAGAAAGAAAGAAAAACTAAAAAGAAGAGGAAAGTTAGGTCGGTGTGCGAACTTCAAGTTTGCGCGCGCGGGTCAAGTGACAATCGAATCCGATCTTCTAAGCTGGAAGCATCTGGCCCAAGACTTAAAAAAAAAAAAAAAAAACTAGCAGACGACTCGATTGGCAGCGGTCTACCTACAAGCTTCAACGATCATTTGATCATTAAAAAAATAAAATAAAATATGGGGGCTATTGTATTTGGCTTTCTACATCCAAGTTTTATCCCATTTTGACCTAAAAATATCCAAAAATTATTTCAAAGACATGTCAAAACTCATTTTGAATCTTAAAACACGTTCTAATACATCCTAGAAACCTAAAAAACTGAACACTCCTCTCTTTCCTGTCTTCCCTATCCTCCCTCAACATTCAGGGACCTGCTTGTAAAGCAAATGAAGTTTAAAGACTCTTTCGTATCATATTACAACTCAAAAGTATCAAAGTGTAAAATAATACAAAAATTTTCAGAAAATATCACCTTTCTTTTTTTTTTTTGGCAAAACAAATTCGTTTCAAGACAAAATAATATAAAATGACGTTATTTTATTCCTGTAATTAGAGTATAGCTACAATAAAACACCATTTCTTTTTCTTTTTTTTTTAATAATATCAGCATAAAAAAGAGTAGTTTTCTGCAATCTAATGATCCTATTGAGCGTAGAGAAGAATGATTAGGGACCTGCAAACATCACATGATTCAGGTCCATCCCGCACGAATGGGTGCTATTTCTTTCTGTTTTTGTCTCGTTCTTTTCTTCTTCTTCTTCCTTTTTTTGACTTTTCTGCACTTTTCCTTCAAGTTTCAAAAGTATTGAAACGATTTAGTCACATACAACTCAAGTTTGATCCGCAACCATCTACGATTATTGGAAAAGTTTATTATAGCTTGCAACCCCACTTCCCTTTCATCTATAATGCAAAGCATTAGTGTTGAAATATAAATCTTCTAGAAATAGAAATTGTTTGTGAATATTTAAATCTCACAGGAACGCAAAACCTAGCATAACGAAGGTGCAAGGTTGATTTATATTAGTTTGGGGAGCCAAAAAAAAACCCGAAAATAGAAGATTACAAGAAAGTAGAGGTAGCAGCAAGAAAGTAGACAGTAGGAAAATAGCAGCATAGCTAGCAGTTAAACCATCTGGGGTTGTAGCAGTCGTAGATTGGGAAGAAAATACATAAGTGAAACTAAAACAGCAAGATGTAAGATCCACAGCATCACCAGAAACAATGCTGCCACCCGATGGAATCTCAAAATTCACATTTATGAATTAAGTTTTGCAACATGACCATGGAATGATGAAGATAACAAGTGAGTTAGTATCGAATCCATGTATGAAGATTAATTATTTGGAGGAAATTGATATTGAAAAAAAGAAAAAAAAAACTAAGAAGAAGATGAAAGTTGGGTTGGGTGCATGTCAGGCTTGTGCGCATGGCCCAAGTTGCAATTGGGCTTGATCTCCTAAGCTGAAACCGTCTGGCACAAGTGCGAGTGGTGGCACCGCTGCAACTCCATTGTCGCCGCGTGTAACTTTCGGCGATTACTTGATCACTAAAAAAAATGGAGGTTGTTGCGTTGTTGTGGAGACCAATGAAGATATAGACTCACAGCATAAGGTGCTACACACTTCCAGCGCAGCAATCTCTCTAATTTGTTAGCAGGATATAGACTCATAGTATAAAGTGCTATACACATCTAGTACATGGATCTTGCTAATTGGTTAATTAGCAAGGTCAAGAAGGCAGTGCCTCTTACAGGAGCTCAGGACCAGAGTCTCAGAAAGATTTACAAAATATTAAACTAGAAGTATAGGTCCGTTAAGTTTTTTTTTTTTTTTGTAATCCTAATTGTTCGTATTATAAATAAAGACAGTATCACTTGTATTTATAGTTATCACTTGAGAAAACCTAATAAAAAATTCTAATGCAACCATAAAGTAGATACCATTATCCAATCATTTAAAATCTTTATGTTGTACCCACAACCCACTACACAAATAGCTTACCTGCTGCTTCATCCACAACACCTAAATCATGTCAGATCAGACAAAAGATGGAAAGCTAGAGGTTGTTTCGGCTGCGAGTCAATCAAATAGCATGGACTTAATGTCTCCATATTACATACATGCTTCAGATAATTCGAGGTAAATCTATGTCAACGAACTCCTTCATGATGGAAATTATGGAGAATGGGTAAATGACATGAGCAATGCCTTATTTGTCAAAAATAAAATTGGATTTGTTGATGGTACCATTCCAATTCCAGCAACAAATTCACCGGATGCGTTGTAATGCCATGGGCAAAGGCTGGTTGAGGAGTGCTATGGACAAGGATGTCAAAAGCAGCGTGAGATATGCCAAAATAGCTCGAGAAATCTGGGTTGATCTTGATGAGATTCGAGAAAGGGAGGCACCAAGGGCCTACGAAATAAGGTGAGCAATAACCCTTCTCCGATAAGAGAAAATGTCAGTGTCTTTGTACCATGCGAAACTCAAGAGTTTATGGGATAAAATACAATCTATT